TGATGTGGAAGACAGAGAAGTATGGAGCTGAGGGAATGACTTTGTCGGCCAGATTTGATGGCAGCAGAATGGATGAGTAAGCCCTCGAGGTCCACTCCTTCTAAGGGAGCCTTTAACTCCCCGGCATGTCCCTTCACCGGGACCCGTGCGGAGCTCACAGCTTCTCCACTCACAGCCAGCATGGTAGGAGAGTAGAGCATGGTCCTAGGTCTTATATCTCTTCTTGGGAAGCCTCATTAGAAACCCCATGTAAATTAGAAGAAGCCCCACATAGAGACCTGTTGTCAGAGAGGGGGCAGCCGATTAGTGTACCCAACAGACAGCACTTTTAAAGGGACTCCATGGGGTGGAGGGGCCATTCACGATGCGATTGAGTGATGATCTGCCTGTACAGGCACTGTGAGCGGGGACTGGAGAAGAGTACCCATTAAGGAGGGAGCTAGTGAGACATACACCTGGAAGGAAGGGCAAGTAGGATTTGGATATTTGGGGAAGAGAAACATCTCAACCAGTGGCACTTGTATGAAAACCATATGAAGGAGAGACGAATGAGGTGAGCGCCGAGACAGGATGGGCAGCTGCCCGGAGCAGCTGTTCTGGATTGGGAGATGGGGTGGGATTGGGATCTTTAAGGGCAAGAGAAAGGAGTTGCATGTGATACAGTGGGCAGCAGGAGTCATTGCGGTTCTGCTTTACAGGGAGACATGTGCCTGGGGATGAGCAGAGAGGGTTAGAGAGCTGGAAGGCTGTTCTCTGGGGGACCTTTCCAAATATTTGTGGAAAAGGAGAGCCATTTCCATGTTCTGAGGGTCTTAAAAGCATACCGTCTTTCCCTCATATCTCTAATCCTTTACGGCAGTAAACCTCCCAAATTCTTACTGTGGCTGGTAAACACACTTAAAGAGACTTCGTGGAATGATGCCAGAAGACGAGATGCTGCATTTGATAATACAGGATTAAATATTAATTTTTCCTAAGCTCAGTCACTCTGTTTTATCGACATTGGTTTATCTTTTATGTAACGACAATATGGCCAGATTATTTGAGGTGGGCCTGAAACTGACGGAGCACTCAAACGTTCGCTTTGTCACCTAGGATTCTCTTCATGCCTCTGTTAGAGTCCTTGGGTTGTAGCGTAAGCCTGCATGCCATCCAGGCCACCTCAGTGGGCTACAAACCCTTTCAGGGCTCTGATGTGTCTTACTCATTGTGCATCCTCGGTGCCTGGCTCGTTGCCTTTTAAATAGCAATTGTGAATGGGTGGGTGAGTGGAGAATGATTATAAGAGGTAGTTTTTCTCGACTTTGTTACTCTGGTTTATGCCTTCATTCAAGCTTGTAAATGACAGACAATACTCTGGACGTTAAGAGACTTGGGCGGGTCATTTGGGAAGGAAAGTATTGTTATGGCTGCAGTTCAGTCTGATTTATAGCGCTAATCCCTGGAGAGCTATTTTCTTACATATGAGTGCTGATGGTTGTGTTTTAAAATTGTCTGCCTCGGGATGTTGACAGGACCTGCAAGGGTAGGTCCTGCAGCAGAGTCACTGGTTCAGAAGTCAGGCCACCTAGGTCCAGCCTCGCACCTGCCCCTCAGAGGGGCCGCTCCGGCCTTTGCCTGGGTGATGCCTCCTCACCTTCCGTTGCCACATGAACTGTCACCTCCTCAGCATCATCTGTCCTGACTGCCTCCTGCACTAACTCTGGTTGCCTAGTCTATGCTCTTGTGGGACCCTTGATAACACTTACAAGTAATGATTGAAGTGATTATTCTATTAATGGTATCTCTGATGAGGCAATAACTTTCGCAAGGATAGGAACCTGTGTATCGGTTTCACCACTGTGTCCTCGTCACCAAACATAGTACCTGGCACTAACTACATTGGAATTAACCTTCAAAATTTTTTAAATTGTACGTTATTTATACCCATGATTAGAAATTCAAACAGTACAGATTTAAAATGAAAGTATATTCAATCCCTCACTAGAGATAACAAGGATTAAAGGCTCCTTGTCTTTACAAACAGAAGAAACATTGAACAAAACTACAGTTGGTTGGAGTTGAATGAATTTGCAGAGGGAGGGGATTGCTTTCCTTCTTCCAGACCCTGGGAAGCAGCCTGCCTATTTCAGTTCCCAATGTCCCATGCCTCAGTGATGCGATAACACTTCCGTGGAGGAACCTGTGCTGAGAACATATGGGGCCAAGACCCTGAGCTAACTACCCATGATAACCTGCTCCATGCTAATTATAGCTATTCCTTGTAGAATTTACTGTCTTGATGGGCCTCTGAAAATTATTTTTTCTAGGAATAGAGTATTACATCCAGCTATTGTTTAATAAAGTAGTAAGGCAGGTTGGAAACCCAAGTGATTTGGGGAATGTTTTAATAAAATTGGTGTTTAGGAAATAAATTAATGTTCCATTGAAGATTTGCAGCTTAAAAAGCATTTCATGTAGCCTGTTTGGTCTTTGGTGGTTTTATATGGTGAGGGAATCATGAAGGAGTGGGATATATCAAAGCAAACTTTTTGAGTTTGAATGGAAATTTGTACCACCACTTCTAAATGTGGAGAGACAGAATTATATGCATAAGGGAATGTTAATCCCCACAAATTAAAAAAATTCTCAAGGAAAAATAAATACACATATTTTGCCCATTAATTCAATGTGGAGGGAGGATTTATCTTAGTTCATCTTCTAGTTCTTTATCCCAAAGATGATGTGAGAGACCACTCTGTGCCCTCCTACAGGACCAGGTGTGAGTGAGTGTGTGTGAGTGTATGTGTGTGTGTTTGTGTGTGAGTGTGCGTATGAGAGTGTGCGAATGAGAGTGTGTGTGTGAGAGTGTGTGTATGTGAGTGTGTGTGTGAGAGTGTGTGTGTGAGAGAGTGTGTGTGAGAATGTGTGTGTGTGAGTGTGCGTGTGAGAGTGTGTGTGTGAGTGTGTATGTGAGTGTGTGAGAGAGTGTGTGTGTGTATGTGTGTTGGAGTGGGGGATGCTCAGTTGGTGTACTCAGAAATAGTTAAGTCCATATGATTATGTTGAAAAATCAGTATATTAAAGCTTTGGACTTTTTTTTTTTAATATTTTTTTATTGATTTTTACAGAGAGGAAGTTGAGGGATAGAGAGTTAGAAACATCAATGAGAGAGAAACATCGATCAGCTGCCTCCTGCACGCCCCCACTGGGGATGTGCCCACAACCAGGGCGCATGCCCCTGACCAGAATCGAACCCGGGACCCTTGAGCCCACAGGCCGAGGCTCTATCTACTGAGCCAAACCAGTCAGGGCTAGGGTGAACTTTTTAAACCAAGTTTCCTTTTGAGTTAATGTAGGTAGCACAAGCAAACACGGGCTAATTCAGGCTACTAATAAATATTCTTTGCTGGGGTCCAACCCCAGCGGGTCCAGGGGTCCCCAAAGGTGTGGATGGAGTTGGCGAAGAGGGAAAGACTCGGGGGCAGCGTTCAGTTGATCAGCATGGTTGGGTTCTCTTGCCTGGTTCTATTGCCAGGTTCTGTAGGTTCTCCAGCCAGGTTCGGTCGCCAAGTTCTGTCCAGGTTCTCCTGCCATGTTCTGTCTAGATTCTCCAGCCAATTTCTGTAGCCAGGTTCTGTCCAGGATCTTTTTCCATGTTCTCTCCAGCAAAGTTCTTCTGTCTCTAGGTTCTCTGCAGGTTCTGTGTCTAGGTTCTGTCTGAAAGCTTTGGACTTTTATCTGTAAATTGTAATTTTATATAAGTATATAAATTTCATAATTCATAAACATATAATCAAGATGTTCTACATTAAGTTAGGTCTGTGGGGAAGGTGATATTGTTCATGGGCATGGGCTGTAGTGGGTTCATACAGTCACCGAGAGAGGTGTTGTGTGGAGGTGGGTGAGGCAGGGGCCTCGCAGGGATGGGCTCATCCCGCCCTGGGTCTCAGCCTCTGAAGTGGCTCAGGGCCCGGCATCAGGGACGAGGTCTGGGTACTGTTGGCAGGGCAGCAGCTGTTCACTGACAGCCAGTTACTTAAGGAGGCAGCGTGTGCCAGATGGAATCTCTGGGCTCTAACACCTAACGACTCAAATGTTAAGGAGGTTTAATGAGCCTGGGTTGGAACTCCCAAGGATAGTAATTGTCTGTTTAATATTAACCAGTGTATTGCAAGCTAAGTACTAGAGTAGTATTCAGTCCCATGCAAGTATCACATGCATGTTCTACTGTTTGGGTGATAAGATCTCAGGGGCTGGTTTCCCCTCTCACTGGCATCCCTAGGAAAGGTGTTTCAGTTACCATTCATCCCCTTCTGCCTTCCAGGTAGGAGCCTAGATGAGACAGATAATAGAGCAATATTTCCTCCACAACCCTGTCCCCACCTTCTTCTTACATGACACTGGAAGGACAATTCACATCTCCCTGAGTCTGTTTCCTAGAGCTATGCCCTGTTCCTTCTATTTTGTATAATATATTATGAATAATGCATGGGCAATTTAATGAGCACCTACAATGTGTAAACACTTTATACACATGATCTCAAATACAGTCCTGCAAAATAGATGTTATAGGCCCCAAACTGAGACTCAAAGTCACAGAGCTAGTAATTGGCAGAACTAGCATTTGAACAACATTGTTTCAAGCTTCAAAGTCCATGCTTTTTCTAAAAAGAACACACACAATAATTATAATATTTCCTGAGCATTTATGTACTAGTCAGTAGTAAACTTATAAGGTAATTATCTATTGAAGAAAAATTGAGAAAGGGGGAAACTGAAGATTAAAAAATTTAAGTAACTTGCCCAAGATTATTTGGTAAGTGGCACATTTAAACTTTGAACCATTTGATCTGGTTACAATGGGTTTTACCCACTGGGTAAAACCGATTGGACTTTTGTGGGAGTGGCATTCCAGACTAGGTAAGAAGAGGTAAGAACAAGTATGGTTAAGAGGAGCTGAAGGATGAAGTAGGGTGTGGGTTTATACTAGAATCAGACTTTGTTTCTTTCCTTCCTAGGTGTCTACTTCCTCTGCGTCAACCAGCAAGTCTTCCAGTATGAACACCACAGAAAACAAGGTATGGAGCATCTTCCACGGTCAAGTTGGGTGGAGGCCTTTAAGTTGATTAATGTAAAGCAGAACAAATGTGGATTGATAGTTGGCAAATGAGTTGTATGTCCTAGGGAGCTTATGTTATAGAAGTAAACGTGCTCTTTCTAAGGTATGGGGGTTGTTGGAAACTCAAATTTCCTTTCAGTATTCACTTCAAACATCACCTATACACTTCTACATCCTTTTAGAATATCTAGAAAAGACTGGTCACCCAGAGGTTTTTTGGTCTTAGACTGGAGTGAGTTTTTTTTATTTGTAAGATAACCTAAGTACATTTCTCTGGGTCTAAATACTAGTAAGATTATGAATTTTTAGCTTCTAAATAAAAATATTTGATTATTATAGTCATTTAAAACTAAATATAAGAATGAGAAGTGACCTAAGTGAACATAGATGAGCAACGGATATTGGTCATTTCAGCTGCTTCCTGAAGTTTCTTCCTGAAATTTGAATCATGTGGGGCACCATATTATTGGTAAACCTTTGTTGAACTCTACTTGGGATCTATTCTAATAATTATTTCTTGGAATTTCAGAAGAAAAATATAAAAGAGTGTCCTCCAGTGGGATTGCCACATAGAGGGAGCCTAGTTCTGAAGAGCTGGCCTTAAACCCTCACCCTCCGTTACCAAGTCCCAAGCTCTGCTTCGTGGGAGTATTCTTGGATGGAGGTTTAAAGAGGGACTCTTTTCAGAGGTTCTCAACTTTATGAGGTGATATTATTTAGTCCCTCTAAGAACTACCCCAGCTCCATTATTATTAAGTTGTCTTTGTTTAAAATCCCCGACATACTTTTGCTTTCTATCTTCCACCTTACTTTGCTGTCCCAGTGGGCTCCTACACCATAATTTAATACTGCATTGTAATTTAGTGACATTGAGGGATCCTATGGCCTCATCTTGAACTGTGTTTAAAGGACATTGCAAGTATCTTGAAACACACAGTTTGACTATAAGCTCTTACAAATGTCATTTAACATTCATTTTAATTTTTCAATTTATTATTAACCTAAAATTGTTATGGAATATTTTACATTTGTATTAATTTTTTATGTTCATATATATTTATATATATATATACACACACACACACACACACATCTACAATAATAAAAGCATAATATGCTAATTAGACCAGACATCCTTCCGGATGAAGCCAGGACTGCAAGGAAAGCCCGGGTCCCGGGGGAAGGAAGGCCTACTCTTGCATGAATTTCGTGCATCGGGCCTCGTGTGTGTGTGTGTGTGTGTGTGTGTGTGTGTGTGTGTATTATTGATTTTAGAGAGGAAGGGAGAGAGATAGATAGAAACATCAATGATGAGAGAGAATCATTGATTGGCTATCTCCTGCACGCCCCCTACTGTGGGTATCTAGCCCACAACCCAGGTATGTGCCCTTGTCTGGAATCAAACCTGGGACCCTTTAGTCTGAAGGCCTTATTTATACCTCTCTTAATCTTAAAAAATAAGAAAAATCTAATTTCAGTCTTAAAGTAATCTTAAAACTATGGTAAAAAAAACATCTACCAAAAGGCAGTTCTCATTGACTTTAGAATGCATGAAAACTTAAGAAAGTAAATAGAAAGGAGAGCCAGAAATATCGGATTTCCTTTGTATTCTATTGGTTTCTCTTTGACCCATTGCCTGATTCTAATCGTCCCCCCAACTCTCAGCTTGAGGACCAATGCTTAATTCAAGTGTGCCCTGTTTTCCAGAGCAAGTGTCAGCAAACTCTGCAGCCATCCATTGCTAAGCATTAAACAGGAGATTCCTGGAGGTTATGGAACTAGAGGAAGGGACGAGGGAGAGGAGAGTAGGCGAGCTAAAAGAGGGAGCAAAAATAAGATGCACCCAGTGTAGTATCACCGGTGGCTGACACGGGACCACTTTGGCCTTAATTCTCTGTCCTTGGTAGACTTCAGTCACTGTTCTCATTAATCATCTTGGTGTGCTTCTGATGTTGGCTCATAAACATTTTTACTAACCTCCTCTGAGAGATTTTTGTGAACTTGATGATCGTATTCCTCTACATATTTTGAGTTCCTAGAGAACAGATTTTAATTCAAGTAAATACCTAAACCAAATCCTTGCCATGTTCTACACCTTTCAAATGAATAGATTATAATAGAAGCTATGAATAGATTCAGACCATTACAATACCAACTGGCTTATTTTCTTTGTTAATCACTTAAAAAGTTATATTTGCATAAACTCAGAAAAGCATAGTAGTATATCTAGAAACTCATTAGCAAAGATCCAATTTGAAAGGGTCCAAAATGTAAATGTTCTTTAAAATATTTCTTTGATCATAAACTGTGTTTCCTCCCCAAACCATAAGTGTGTCAGCAGAACAAGGGCCTGTCATGTGAGGAACATATGTACCTTCATTACTGAAGCACAAGACATTATAAATTAAGAGGATATTTGGTGTTACCCTTTTCAGATAATAGAATAAAAATAGAACTTTGTGCTAATATTACCAAACAGATAAAAGGGAAAGAAATGACAGGAAGCATTAGGCCTCATTGTTAATCTCTTACTTTGAAAAGTTTATAATATGTTTTATCTCTGTTTCTGTATCTTGTCTGTACTGGGAATGTATGTATGTACTTAAGGAATTGCCTCTTTTGACACAGGTTACCTTTGGTTGGGTACAACTCTGTAGAATACTCCACTAAAGATCCTAAATCACAGCCTGCTCTTCAGAATTATTCCTAGAACTTTAGATTAGATCTCTAAATTTTTATCGTGCAATGCCAATCCATGCACTATTTGCAAAATTGTTGTAAGATTATGTTGCCAAAATTTCAGAAAACTTTTGACAACACCTGTGACTACTCCTTTGATAATAACCAAACATTAGAAATATAGGTGAAAAAAAAAATATTGTTCAAGCAGCCTTTACACAGGAAAGGAGGGGGAAGGAAAGAGATCCCAAATTAATTTTATCAATGGAAAACTTACAGATTTCCTCTCACCAAAAAGAGTAAATTCAAACTGAAATATTTGCTTGAGACTCTAGAAATTAAGAGCCTGCAACTTCTTGGAGTTGTATCCATCTGCATAGGGTAAAGGCAATGCATGAGTACAACGGGTTTTGATATAAACATTTTAGCCCTATTTGTACATGGTACTTATTTTACTGTCAGACAAATAAAACCACACTCGGGGCTGTGCTCTTACGTTAGGCCATTCCAGTCAGCAAACAGACGGAAGGAACACCTCCTCCTCACAAGAAAAGACACAAAAAACAGGTGATGTGGCTCATTGTACTAGCTCACTTTAGCTGCTTGGCACGTGCTTATTGCAGTTCACAGTCTCCTGTAACTCTCTGACCCATCACAGACTTTCTGGCTTAATCACCCATTGCCCACATTCCGGCACTAAAAATGAATTTCACTGCTCTCTGTACTCTTGGTTCTGTCACCATCCCATTGTTTCACACTGTCAGATGAAACCTACAATGACTATTTCACTCATTCAGAGACTGATCATGCTAGTGTGGCTTTGAAGGATGAGGGTATTTATTTTATGTTGCTCATGTATTTGCTGCAGTGTTCATAGTAATAAATCTCTACATATCTTTGATACATATAGGAAAATGTAGGATGTAAATTAGTACTTAATAAGAGCAGATTATTAATTAGTGTACTTAAGTGTTTATCTAAAGAGTTACAATTTCAAGCAAAGTATAATCTTAACTCATAACAATTACATTTATAAATACATCAAAATCATCTCTTTAGCTTCCTTAGTTGAGGAAAATCTATGATAAACTTTGTAAATAATGTCCATTTTTCCTTCCTTCCTTTTTCTTTCTTTCTTTTTCTGAATTTAGGCTGTAAAATCGGAACCTGAAAAGAAGTCACAATCAACTGAAGTAAGTGTTGTAAGTCAGCTATGAGATATTTGTATTCTTTGCAATAGTAATGAATAATGAAGTTCCTTATTTGCTGGTACTGAATGGTAAAAGGATTTTTGTCAGCTAATTTAATTAATTAGGGCATGATTTTATAGAGTATATGTAAAATAATTATAACATTAAATTTACATATCACTAAAATTAATGTATACTAATCTATAATAATAAAAGCAAAATATGCTAATTAGATGGGACATCCTTCTGGACGACCTTCTGGACAAAGCCAGGGCAGTGAGGGAAGCCCAGGTCCTGGGTGCCAGAGGGAAGCCGGTGCTGGTAGCCGGGGGAATGAAAGCCTACTCTTTCACGAATTTCATGCATTGGGCCTCTAGTTTATAAATAAAGATAATATGCTTCAGAAGGAATTTTGTTCAAATCTATATATTCTTTTATACTGTTTAAAAATAAGCAACAGGAGCAAAGGACAGAGTTCAAAGGGTAATGAGTGTCTAATTACTTTAATGATGAGCTGCCCAGAATAACTGTGTCTGTTGAACCTAGCACCCAGATAACTAAAGCTGAGAGTCTGGCTTACTCCTGACAGTCTTACCTTGGTTGGTAGAACTAGTTACTTAGGAGACAGCTCTGACTTCCCCTTGGGAGCAGCTTCCCTGGCTTCCTTGACTCAAGGCCGTCTAGACTGAAAGCCAACCTGTGTCCACATGGAGAGTGATCCCGGGGTGTCTGCAGCCACGGCATATGTTCTCATCAATCGGGTGCTGCTCTTTCTTTCTTTCTTTCTTTCAAGCACACCCAAGCAAATACTCAGGTAAAACCTTAAGGTTTCCTGTGGGAAAGCACAGAGGTGGTTCTGGCTAAAGTACTTTAAGTGCAGGCCAGGGTGAGGTCATCTGGGTGAAAGCTGAGGCTTGTCTGATTTGGTGTGAGGCATCTTGGCTGCCCCCCGAGGATGGTAATTCCATAGTCCGCTCTAGAGGAAGAAGTCAACAGCCAGGTGGGGGTTGTCTTCTATTTTATATCTAAATGCTTTTGGTTATCTACCCAATATCAAGAGAATTGCAACACAGAAAAGACTATGTAAATCATTCCGTTTAAGAAAATGCAAGTTTTTTAAAAATCTCCTGTGAAAGGAGATTTTTAAAAAATTAATTTCTAGAGTAGAATCCCCTTTTTTTCCACCAAACGCAGAGGTCACAATGACCACTCGTCATCTCTGTGGATAAACCTGCAGCTACCGAAAGAATTGCATGAATTATGAGAAACCGCCCATAATTTAGAGATAAATACCTATTTGAAAAGTTGTTCTAGGTGAAAACTAAATTTTTTATTATTCTTCTATAATTATCATTATCAGACTGTTGGTAGGATTGCTGTTGACCAGAAAGCACATGTCTGCTTCTCTAGTTGAGTCATTCTCAAGAGAGGCAGAATGGTCTAATTGGGAGTTTTGTTCTTGAGCCTGTTCGGAGTTATGAAAACAATGAACTCCAATGTAATTGATGTTTTATCTTTGGAAATTGACAGCCACCTCTACTTATTGACGGGAAAAAAATAGAAAAAAAGCCAAAGGAACAACACGAGGTAAATTTACGATCGTCATTAGTACTTGATAGCATAAGGTGAAGCCTTTTGTGTGTGTGTGAGGGATGAAATACGAAATTCTCATCAGTCAAGACTTAAGTCCCCAGGAGGATCACTTTGTGAATTATATGATTGTCTAACCACTATGCTGTATAGCTGAAACCAATATAAAATAATATTGAATACCTACTGTAATGGAAAAGCCTTTTAAATGTAAATTGCTATAGAAACAAGTCCTGCGAGGATGGCTGGTATTTGTTCTTAGCTAAAATAGCACCACCATGCGGCAGTAGAAGGATTTGCAATTTACTCATGATTCTTGCTCAATTTGGGAGGGAAGGATTTGCGTTATTTCAAATTTTGAACCTAAGGTGAAGTTTTATCACATTGATATCACACTAATTTAAATGTGCACAATTCAAAACCGCATAAAACACAACTGTTTTGAGCACTTCCTACTCTATTGAGAAAAGTATCTGTATTTGCCATCTTGTTAACAATGCGGTGTGTGTGTTTTCAGCCGGAAAATCTATCCAAAAGCACATCACATACAGCAAGCAAGCATGGTCATAAAGAAAAAGCCGTTTCCAGGCCAAGTGAGCAGCCAACGTCAGAGAAACCAAGCAAACCAAAGGTAAAGAAATCAGATGAATAGTTAGGAACACACTAACATCAACTGGGGGGTGAGATACAGGCCCTCTCTCGCATGGACATGTAGGTGAAGCTGCTGAGCTGTGCCAAAGATATCTTTGTAATGATTTGGTGCTACCATGTTGCTGGTTTTGCGACTAGCCTTGTGGACATGGGCCTATGAAAAGCCTGAGAAGAGCACCAGACGGGTCCCGGGGGTGTTCCATCCAGTCCTCTATGGCCCATCAGGGTCCAGTCACGACGGCAGGGCAGCAGGCTCTGGTGCCTCGCAGACAGGAAGCTGCCTGGACCCCTCTCCTTACGGGCGGTGGGAACCCAGATGCCCTGCATGATCTGCTGACAGGGAAGCCTGGAAGAGTTTCTGGGTCTTGTGCTAGAAGAGATGAACTTTCAGAGCCAAGAATCAGAAGGAGTCTCCATATTTCTAGAACCACTGAGGGTCAACTATTAGAAGAATAAACAAATATGAGAGGAACTTTCCCACTGATAGCTCTTGCAAGACAAGAACCAGTCCTGCTTAACAGTGTACTTCGTATCAGAGATTGTAATCTCTGGCCCACCAGTTAAAGGCAGCTCATGTGTGTTTTGTTCAGGTGTATTTTGTTTGGCTTACAATATTATTTAAATTAGCTACCGACAAAGTCAGAATATTTCACATAAAATCAAAATGTCTAGCTTCTCTAGAAAAATCAGGATACTTGGCAACAGTGGGCTCACGTGGCAAGAATTGACGAGAGCTTGACACCTGGTATATGTGCTCTAATTTACCACAGTCCCTCCCTGGCCCACTTTACTATTTGTGTTACCTGCACGGACTCTGTAAGCTCAGAGTCCAGCCTCATGGGGTTGGTGCTCAACGTTGCATCATGTTCAGCGGAAGCTAGTGACCTTTCCTATACAAGATGTCCACAAGGGCAAACTGGCTTAGCAGTGACATTTGAAAAATGCATAATCTCAAAAACAATCACTCAAAGAGACTGAGTTCTGTTCATCTTTCATCCTCCTCCTTAGACTAAATCTCAGGACACAGGTGGAAAGAGTGCTGCTGCTGCTACTGCTGGTGTGGTTGTGGCCTCTGGCAAGTCAGACGACAAGGTGAGCACACACAGGCAGACAGGGGGTGTGCGTGGGCCCGATGCTTATCAGTCTCTCGTGAGAAACGTACTCAGGGGAGTCCCATTCTCCCTGGGCTTTACCGCTGGCTCTCACTGACCGTTTAGGGTTCTGGTGCTGCCACACTCAAAACTGAACATTGTTCATATATTTGTGAAGAGGATCACGTAGCTGAGGGATATAGAGTGAGCAGAATACTGAAATTGATTTTAAAATCCATATATTCAATAAATATTTATTGGTCACCTGCCTTGTATAAGGCCAGGTATCAGGATTGAGGAAATTGACATGTGGGTTGACTCAGAGCCTGCCTTCAAGATGTATAGGCTTGAAATAAAGCAAATAAAATTGCCGTGAGCATTTGAATGGCATTACTCTGAATTGTCAACAAGTTTATTCCTTGTAAACCATGAATAGTCACAACATCTACATGAATTGATATGGGAGGTTTTCCAAGGGGACAACATAAACCCCCTCAGAAGAGAATGTATATACCCTTCTGGCCAGTTATGGGCAATTTTTCCTTAGGTCCTTGATGAGCCAATTAAGATTCTTGCTTGGGAAATGTAAGCTGAGAAGTAGTCTGTGTTTCTACTCATGCAATAGAGTGTTATCCATGTGGAGCGATCTCCCTTAGAAATGCTAGTACTTATTTCTCTGGAAACACAAATAAGTAATTGAAGCAATAATGAGAAGATGAAAATAGAAAGGAATATGTACTTACCTATTTTCCTGCTTCTCGCAATAGAAAAGATATTCTCCTGAAGGCTCAATGGTAAGGAAAGTCGTAGGATAGATTATGGCACATCTGCCCGAAATATCTAATTTTTCTCAGATTTGGGGAGAAAATGCACATTGTTTTTGTTCAAATAAATGCAGATATCTTAGAGTGTAATGGTAAACTTTATATACACTTTTAAATGAAAATACCCAACTTTAGTTTAAAAAGTATTTTCTTGCAGTAGACCACTTGAGACCCCTACCCCCAACCCATCCAAGGGGTACACGTTACTCTCTCATGTTGATGAAATGATTTGAAAGAAAGGTGGATTTAAGACAGAGGATTAGATCTGATAGAACAGATTTTAAAATTAAGCAAAAATTTAAATTTTAGATATAAATTAGAGTTATCAGTGAAATCTGAAAAATAAAATTAGGAGAGGTTTATATGGAATTCTAGTTTGCACCGATTTGAGCTGGTAAATCACTTTTCTTTGCCTCTGATTTGTCTCCCATAACATGGGCTTGATCAGATCTGCATTTTTTAAGTTATTTTTGTTAGTGCGTACCAGGCTGAAAGCACTGTGTGTGACGCCCGCGCTGCACTGCAGGCTGGCCATCTAGGGGTGGGAAGAAGACACTCTGCCTCAGCTGCAGTTCAAGGCAGGCTGAGACAGGGAGCTGTTTGGTGAGGACAGAATAGGTCCCGACTGCAGGAATCCACAGGGACCTTGAGTAGATCCAGTCTGAGTGGGGCGTGGAAGCATAGCCTGGATTGCAGGCTTGCAAAGGCATCGACATGGAAAAGGAGAAGATGTGTTCTGGGAGCAGCGTGCATTCCAGTGTTGGGTGAAGCGCCGGGCGGTGAGCAGTGGGGCTGTAAGACCAGAAGGACAGGTTGAGGTGTTGCTGTGGAGACTGCTAAGGGGAGTTAGTGATTCAACAGGCAGAGGATAAACAGTGTGAAAGAGATTAGAGAACAGATGCAGCAAGCGGAGCCATTAACACCAAACTGCAAAAGGATTGTGAAAGTGACCACAGGGGGACTACAGATAGGAGGGTGGGAGGTTGGTCAGGGGCTGTTCCAGTAGTCCTGGTGAATCCTAATTTAGTGTAAATGCGAGCTGAGATAGAATAAACTAGTGGGGAGAAAGGGAGGAGGCATTGCAGAGGTAAATTCTTCAGGTTTTAGGGAATGATTGGGCAAAGGTAAAGAAAATCTCAGGCTAACCTGGGGCTCGAGTCTGTAGGGGCTAGGGTGGTAACCCTAAGGTGAGGGCTTCTGCCAGGGCAGGGAGAGTGAGTGCCTCCTGAAACTGTGAGCCGGCCCCTGGTTGCCACTGGGAGGTGGACACAGTTCACCAGAGGAATTGGTTGAGGAGGAAACGTGGTGTTTGGTTTTGGACAGGCTGAATGGGTTTGAGGTGTCCCAAGAAAGATGTGTAGTCAGGCAATTAGAATACTGTTTTGGAGTAGCGAAGAAGGGGGAGAGAGAGACTTGGGGATGGCTCCCACAGTATTTTTTAAATCTTCACCCAAGGGTATGTTTATTGACTTGAGAGAGAGAGAGGAAGGGAGGGAGACAGAAAGCCAAACAACGGTGTGAGGGCGGTGACCTCCCATCCGTGCCCAGATGGGAATCAAACCACAACCTTTTTGGTGTACAGGAGGGCGCTGCAACCAACTGAGCCACCAGGCCAGGCTCTCCCCCACCGCCCCCCTTGTTTTTACTGTGACAGTCGCAGTCATTTATTTAACACTTTCTTAAATTAAGCACTTAGAAAGGGCTCAGTATGTGCAAACACTGGCTCTCACACTTTATAGACTCATTTACCTAATCCTCACAGCCCCTGAGGTAGGTGCAGTCACTCTCTGAGATGGAACAAACGTGAGGACACTGAGGTGCAGCCAGTGCTTGTCCGGGTGCAAACCCAGGCAGTTGGAGTCTGTGCGCTCCGCCTCCAGACTCTGCTGCCCAGAATTCAGGGGCTGGCAAATGGGACATAGTTTCCTATTGTCTTCATCCTGGCAGCATCGCCCATTGAGTTGCTGCCAGGCCCTGAAAGCATTTGGCCCCTGGCCCTAGAGAATGGTCTTGGACCGGACCACCAGCACAGGCAGAAATGTGTAGACCGTGTGCAGTTGGGGGTAAAGCAGAAGAGATGCCAGAGGCGGCAGAGAACAGGGGGCACAAACGCCCGAGTAGACCCAGGATGGTGCTTGGTCATGGCTGCTGTGGGAGGTGAGAGTCATAGAGGGGTCCTTGCCAGGGTCTGGGTAACGGCATGAAATCACAGATTGGAAAGTTATTGGCAATCATTGATAGAGCAACGGAAGTGCTGGTAGGAAGGAAATTCATTTTGGGGAAATAAAGGGAAGAGTAGGTGATGAGATACCAAACCAAGGTGTGTGGAGGTCTTGTTGTGTGGGGAGCAGAGATTGATATAGCAACAGCTAGAGGAAGTGGACACTTACAGAAAGAATTTATGGGACCCACAGACACTGGCTGTGGGCCCCAGGAGAGGCAACCAAGAGTAGTGAAGAAAGAGATGGGCAGTTCTGGATTCACATCTTGGTTCTGTTTTTTGACTGTGTGACCTGGAAAAAGTTACTTAACCTCTCTGAGCCTTGATTTCCACATCACTAATTTATGTTATGATTTATTAATATTATTTATGCTGTTCTGAAAAAGGGCATAACACATACAACATAGTGTCTAGCACTGAGCAGATTCAGTATATGATCAATGCTATTAATATTATATTGAATTCATTTTAATATATGTAATATTATTGAATTTTATAAATGTATGTGAAAACGTTTTTATTCCTTTCTAAACCTCCACCAGAAAGAAGAAAATAAATCATTAATGTCGGCTGTACCAGTTGAGTCCAAACCGGGTGAACCATCTGGAAAGGTATGAAGAGAGCAGTGCATTTCTGCCTAAGATATTTACTCACAGTCTCTCTATCGTGATCTCATTTCTTGAGGCCAGACAATATGAGGTGGGGGCACCTGAAAGGATCTTTTTAATCAGCTGTTTCAAGCTAATATAACTGGGTTGAAAGTGTGGTTTTCCCACATATGTTTGTAACATTTTATAGTATAACCCTCTGTTCTGAAAACTCCAGTTACATCCCATGAAGTTCTCATTCCACTTTCTCTCCTGCAAATATATCTGCTTTAACCAGGGGTATCACTAAAGAATGCCAGGTACTTCTTCACTCTGAAATTCCTAGTTTAATCAGGCTAAAGCTAGCAGGCCCCAAAGTCTAGTACATTACCAGGGGAATTTCTAAAATTATAGTGTTAATATAGTAGTTATTCTTACTAATTAATCTGAGTTAAACAGTGAAAAGTCTTTCGCCAAATTGTTGTTTTCCCCTTTAAATTCAGGTTATCCTTCACAGTGAGTCATTCTTAACCTCAAAATTAGAATGGAGGCATTCTTTCATTATACTGATATAAGCCCACACCCCAGGCATGTGCCCTGACTTTGGAATCAAACCGTACCTCCTGGTTCCTAGGTCGATGCTCAACCACTGAGCCACGCCGGCCGGGCAAGATAAATTTTTTTGAAAAGTTATTTTTACTAAATAATAAAGTGTACTTTTTTCTTTAAGCCTTGCATTGCTAAATTTTTCTTTAAATTAGTTATAAATTATATAGTCTCAAATAGGCCATTATCTTGTCATATTTTAGAGTGTTTCTGCCTTTTTTTCTCAAAAGACTTCTTTCTCTTCAATACGTGTAAATATTTCTTGCTTCCATTTTCATTATTTTTTAAAAAATTGTTGACCCTATTACAGATGTCTTCCGTTCTCCTCCCCCCACCTTTGTCCACCCTCTCCCCCAGCCTTCACCACACTGTTGTCTGTATCTATGCATTATACATATATGTTCTTTGGCTAATCTCTTCACCCTCTTTTATCCAACACCCCCCTCCTCCTCCCGTTTTCCCTGAAACCCTAAGACCAGATTTTAACTATTTGATATTTGAAGAAGTTTTGGTGTTTGGTATTTTTCTACACAGATTGGTGTTTTGTAGTTTTAAAAAATCAAAAGTGGAGTATGTGTAACAAATAACGTTTAAATATCTGCTCTCTCTTCTTTCCAGTCAGGCATGGATGCTGCTCTGGATGACTTAGTAGACACGTTGGGAGAACCTGAAGAAACTGAACACGATAACACAACATATACTGGACCTGAAGTTTCAGTAAGTGATCTTAATATCTGTAAAGATTCACTCTTAGGGTAGGAGAGCAAAATAAGGTCATGATGCACAAAGTCCACTTGGTATTCTGTTACTTGGAGAGAGATAGGACGGTGTCAGTGTCAGTAACAGCAACTGAAATTAGTGTTGGGATGGAATGGCTGTTGACGCAGGAAACATTTATTAATTGTCTGTGCTGAGATTATTCCTGGCATATAGTCCTTTGGGCCACAAATACCTTTCTGTCCTTGAGATTGGACTTGGATTTATTTTGATTTCTAGATATTTACCATCCTCTCTTCATCCCTATTCCTAATTCCTTAAAAGCAAGAAAATTATATGACATTTTATTTAAAGAAAAAGACATACCATAGACTGGAAGGAAATATTTGCAACAGACACCACAAAGGATTTGTGCCAGAATTTACGAAGAATTTTAAAAAGTGAGAAAAAGACAATCCAGTAGAAAATTAGGAGAAAACTTGCTGGGCTAAAACAAAATGCAAGTGTCCCTAGTAATTAGGAAAGTGATACTACAACATGGAGAGGAGTCACTTCACACTTATTAGATTAACAGCTCACCTGGAGCTCATGGATGCTGACTATGTGCATACCCTTCCGCCAGCAAGTCCCCAGAGGGAGCCTTGCACGCCTGCACAAGGAGTGATGAGAACAGCTGAAACATTTGGAAATGGTTGTGTTCAACAGGAGACAAGATAATAAAATGGGATGCTTTTATAGTGATTAAAACAAATTATTCATTTACCAACATGGATGCATTATAAACACATAATGTTGAATATGATATCATTTATATAACATTTGAAAATATGCAAAGTAATGCTGTAAATTGTTTGTGGATGCCTACATGTAGCATAACCGTTTTAAAATATGCTCCACTTTCAGTGGGTGGGTATGATACCCTTAAAGTTCACATTAGTAGCTATCTCTGGTTAACAAGGAACGGGAATGGGATTGGAAAGGGCCAAACAGGAGACATCATTCTAATTGTTTTGAAGAAATTACATAAGAATGACTATAGATCTGATAGAGTTGGGTGTTGGGTTATATAGAAATTTATTGTTTTTAACTGTATTTTTGTATGAATTGGAAACATCAGACAATGAAAAACATTTAAAATCCAATGTATTTTAATATAGGAATCAAATTTAATATAGTGATTTGAATATTTTCTAGCATCACATATGGGTTAAGCTATTTAAATAAGGGGAGGTATTTGTGTAAACAAATTTCAGAGTTGTATAAAGTATTGGCATCTTAATAATTTATATCTTACTTCAATAGTTTCATGAATTAAGAATGGAATAGTACTTTGGTTTCAGAATATGAATATAACATTCTCAGATAATTAATTATATAATGTATCTAAATGTGTGATTTTATTACAGGATCCCATGACTTCTATCTACATAGAGGAATTGGGTAAAAGAGAAGGCTCAATTCCTCCAAAATACAGGGAACTTTTGGATGTAAGTTAATCATTTACTTTTACTTTACTATTTCCTTTTGGAATATATTCGTTATCACATCAATATAGTTATAATTTTTTAAATTTAGAAAATAAAATGGGCAGATAAAAAGTTCATTACTATGACATTCACTGTATTAGTTTTCCACGGCTGCCATAACAAAGAATCACAGCCTGGATGGCTTACCCAACAGAAATATATTGTCTCACTGTTCTGGAAGCTGGGAGACTGGAATCAAGGTCTGGGCATAGTTGGTTCCTTCTGAAAGTCTTATGGAGACCTCTCTCCCTGGCTGGTAGAGAGCTATCTTCTCCCTGTATCTCTTCATGTGGTCTTCCCTCTGTATCTCTGGTCCATATTTCCCCATTTTATAAGAACACTAGTTATATTGGATTAGCTTATCCTAATGTCCTCATGTAACCTCAGTTATCTCTCTTTTTTTAAGTGCATATTTTTATTGATTTCAGAGAGGAAGGGAGAGGGAGAGAGAGATAGAAATATCAATGATAAGAGAGAATTACTGATCAATTGCCTGCTGCACGCCCACCACTGGGGATCAAGCCTGCAACCTGGGCATGACCTCCTGGTTCATGGGTCGACAATCAACCACACTGGCCAGACTCAGTTACCTCTTTAAAGGCTCTATTTCCAAACACAGTCGTAGTCTGAGATGCTTATGATTAGGGCTTCAATAATATGCTTTTGGGGAGGACATAATTCAACCCATACAGTCACTGAGTAACACATTTTGCTGATTATAAGGATTACTCTTGCCTTCTCAACATTATCAAATTGATGTTTGTTTCAGAAAAAAGAAGGGATCACAAGGCCTCCTCCAGACTCTCCGGTGAGTTTACATAAATGTCTTCTAAGATCCAAATGGACATTTTTTGTATCTTTGGTTGGTGGATAGGGCTATCAATACCGTATTTTATGGCTAAAGTAACCTCTAAATCAGATGAAGTTTTCGTCTGTTCAGAGAAAGGGAGAGGATGTGGGGGTTGTGTCAGTGCTCATTGGTTTCATATGGATTTTTGTTTGTGTTTTTGAGAGGAAGAGAAATGGAGCCCAGGAAGTTTTAGGATAAAATAAATGTTAATAAAAATAGGATGGGAATATCTTAACATGTAATACATTTAGAAGAGGGAACAGAAAAATAATAGTGCAAAACCCATTCCCTACCAGACATAGGCTTTCATCTGAGATATCTTACTAACACGTCTCCTTCGGTGGTAAAGGAATTGCCAGAGTACGTTCTTCCTTTGCTGGGTGTATAATCTGATCCTTCGCTTGAATGATTCCCCCGTGATACCCATCCTGGTCTCTGTTTCTTTAGAAACCCCCGGGGCCCGATGACGCCATCGATGCCTTGTCATCTGACTTCACCTGCAGCTCTCCTACCACTGGTGGGAAGGAAACTGAGAAAGAGGTATTGTGCTGAATGTTATTAGGGGAACTTGTTAGAAGCCCTCCCGAACTTTAGAACAACAGCTTTCTAGTTTTGGTTATTACATTTCCCTCCTCTGCACATTTAATCTTTTGTATTTTGTTTTTCAGAAATCTACGGGAGAAGTTTTAAAAGCTCAGTCAGCCGGAGTAATCAGAAGTGCTGCTCCGCCCCATGAGAAAAAAAGAAAGGTGGAGAAGGTATAAATTAATTACTTTTTGGAAAATAACCATGTTTCGAGGGACAGCAGCTGCCTTCCTGATGCTGATGTAGCTGATGCCAGACAATCCCAAAAGTGTATTACGAATCAGGGGGAGGTGGAGGGAGGGGGAGGCAGGGCGTATTTCTCCCCGAAGGTCTGTGGAGCAGTGAGATCAATTGGGGCGATACCCATCACCTCCAGCCAGGTCTTCCTTGTTTCTGCAGCAGTTTATGGGAGATTTCAGCACAGTCTTCTTGATTGTGAATTAAGACTATCTTACCATTCCAATGCACAGAGGGCAGGACGCCGGAGAAATGACACTCTTGGGACATACAATCTTCAACGTGGTTTCCTCAAGGAGTCGGAGCCCGGTGAAGCCACTCGAGGGGTCTTGTTGTAGCTGCTTCTGTCCACCTCGCTTAGCCACAGTCAATGTGGACTGATTCTCACCAACCCTGAGCTGTGGTCCTCCAGCTCTGGGCTGCAGGAGAAAGCGTGCCCGTGTGCAGAGAGTCCAGATAATGAGAGGAGCGGTTGCTGTCAGGGCGCTCTGCCTCTCCCCTCCTGGAGGGGACAGTTTATTTTTATCTGGCTGGCGGGGGAGCCGTGAGAGCACCACACCCCGGAGAGTGGGTGTTCCCACAGGGAGCAGCCTTGGTGCCTGCCGAGAAGAAGGCGGCGGGGGCCACCCCGGGTCCCCCTGCTTTCTGGGCTTAGCTGCTTTGCTCAAGGACAGGGTTGCCAGAAGTCATTTTTAGAAAAAGAAAAGCAGGATAGTGAAAGTTCGCTTTTTGCAGCTTTTATTTTGACATGGGTATTTTATAATGGCACAGTTATGATTACAGTGATAGGTCTAGCTTGCTAAGGAAGAGGTGCAGTGCCCCTGGGACCACCGTTACTGTAGAAAGAGTCTTAGCCCCCATTTCCACTCACTGGTAAGTTTTTTTTTATTCTTTCTTTCTTTTGCTAGGTTTCAGATAAACTTGCCTTCCTAAAGTCCATCCCCAACCCATGATTCATCTTTGAGATTTAAAATGTGTATTTCACAAAGAAGTGGATGGATTGTTCAGGTTGAGGAGATGCTCTCTTTTTAATGGGCAGAATCTTTGCTTTGTCACAGGACGCAATGAGCGACCAGGCACTGGAGGCTCTTTCGGCTTCGCTGGGCCGCCGGAAGTCGGAACCCGAGCTCGACCTCAGCTCCATTGAGGAAGTCGACGAGGTACTGACCTTCGAGTTCATATACAGAGCATGGTAGTCTGCAGGTTACAAAACTGAATATGTTATGCATGTTTCAAATGATTGCCTGACTTTTATTTTATTGGAGAGTTGAAATGGACTATTCTTCATTCTGCCTTACTTTCAGGGTCTCTGGGTCACTTAGAGACTTCTGGCTGGGGAGTTAGCAGCCAAGAAGGATATTTGAGTGTTTGTCTTAAAAACCATCTAGAATTTTAATATTTAAAGTTAACACTAATCTCCTCTGCCAACGCTTGAATGACAACTGACTAAACAAGATAACATGGAGGCAGTGGGCTGTTGAGAAATAGGTTTGTCTACTCTTATGGAAATTGGAAATTTGTATTTTCAGAAGGGTGTGGGGTGACCCTGTTTATAAGGAGAGAAGTAGGTGACTGTAGGTGGGTAGGGAGTTCCTTTTTTTTGTTTTTATAACTGTGAGGAAAGATGTTGAAAATTTGTCTCAAATTAGAATAAAATCCAGCAGCAATTACTCTGTAACTGAAACTGCCTTGTGCTTAGAGCATGATGCTGGGCAGTTTTTATCCCACCTCACTTAACAAGATCTTAACAAAGCCAAGGCAAGCTTGTATTGAGTGGAGTTTTAATATTACAATTTTTAAAGCATTTTCAACTGAGTCCTGTGGGGGAAAGAGGACAGACGAGAATTGCCCTGGGACATTCCCAGCAAGGCAGTGTGTGTGTGTGTTGTGGGGGGGGGGGGGCATAGATGGGGGGTGGGCGGGCATGGATGTGCAGCTTGGGCCCTGTCAGCTGGGGGGTGGGGGTGGGGGTGGAGCTGGCAGGTGCTGCTGTCACAATGCCACTGCCTCTGCTGTCACTTCCTGTTCTGACTCCCTGGGGAAGGCGAGTCTCACGGACTCCCAGCAACTCTCCCTGAGTCTGGGACCCCCCTGGTCCAGAATGGGCCAGTTTCTATCTTCGACTTTCCTCGAGGGCTCACCAGATGCAGTGTGGCACAACATGCTTGGTGAAGGCGAACACAAGGGAGCAGGGGAGGCGGCCCCCGTCTTCCAGGACCAAGTAATGTATGGGGAAGAAAGGAAACTGATTAAAACACAAGGCGGGTGCACATTGCTGGGAGCTGGACAGAAGCCCCGTCTAAAGTAAAGAGTGGGCCAGGCAGAACCCAGGAGGCGGGGTGCCAGCCCAAGTTGAGCTGGGGGTCCACCACCAGAGGCTCCATGGCCATGAGCCTCGGGCTTCTTACAGATAATTAGGGTGATTTAATGAGATGGTCATTAGGGGAGGGAAGGTATCAACATAAATCCCAGGACAAAAAGAGTCTTAGAGGGATTAAAATTAGGTAAATAGCTGTAACAATAAGTTAAATAGTGTAATGGCTTACTATCTGATGATGAATGCGTTGCTTCCTGGGTAGTCTGGTGGGATAAGACTGGTAAAGAGCACGTCCTACAGGAGTGCACAGCCACGCTGTACATTCCACCGGAGCTCTCTGAGCAAAAATTACATAGTGCTTCAGAGAAGGGGCCCATGCCTACTGGTCATTTTTATAAGGTATCGTAACACAAAATAATATTTATAATGATACTTCATTAGTCACCTCCCCCATTTCTATGTGTAGTTACCTAGTCTGGCGCTATTTCAATTGAGTAAACATTTACTTCCCATGCCTACAGTGCAGGCATTTAAAGAATATAAAGATCAAAGGAATAGAAAGGATCTAGCTGGGCAGGTACTTCTCCTTGTGGGCAGGCCTGAGCGAAAGTGGGGATTGGGGGGGGGGGGGCTGGGCCCAGTCCTACAAAACAGGTGACCGTGCCTTTCGGGAAGGCTGGTTTATAGGCGGAGACCCCACTAATCTCTGAATTGAGGAGAACCACTAATCATAGGCCTTCTTCCATATCTGCAGAATATAACTGGAAATGTTAAAAAAACACACAACTTTCATCCCTTATTGAGAGTTGTTATGCTATAAAACATATAAAACTGTAGAACATATATAGAACAATAAAACTATCCCAGAGCCTAGAAGAGTGCCTGGTTTATTAAAGTGCTTAATCTTTTTAAATGAATCAATTAACTAATCATTCAATGGAGAAGTACAATCTTCGGCTGAGATGTAGGTGGGAGCAGTGGGTTGAGCTGGAATTTGCTGAGTGACACCTGCCCACCTTTGTGCCCAGGAGCTCATTGGTTTGGGGTTTAAAACTGTGCCTTGCTATAGTACACATTGTGACATATCACGGAACCTCGCCTTACTCCCCAGTTGTTTAAAATGCAGATGTTACATATATCCTGGGAGCCAGCGATCTATTATAGAACTACTGTGCCCTTTTATGTCTAATGGAGTTGGTAGTTCATGGTTCACTGATCGAGTGAAGCCCTGGTGATATTGAAGGGAGTCCTTGTAAAAGAGGCAAAGCTAGCTGTCCATGGATCAGCCAGGATTGGTGATGGGCTGCTTCTCCCGTTTCCGAGCTGTGGTTAACACTCGGGAGGATTGGGTTTCTCCCCGGTACAGAACTGCCTCATTGAGGAAGAAAGATGAAGGCTGTTGAAATAATTGCAACTAACTTCTGCACTGTGCCTGACTGTCCCATAGGATATTTTATTCACTTTCCTCTGGCGATCCTTACCAGTCAGTAGCTGGGTAAGGATTATTCGTAGGCCCATTTTATAGCTGAAGACACTGAGCCAAAGAAAGACTAAGTGGCTCCCCGAGGTCATGCAGTGCCTGAGAGCAGGGCTGGGTCACCTCCCCGGGATTCCTGGCTGTTTTTCTCAGTCACCCCACTTGCTGCCTTCCTCAAAGCCACTCACCACAGTCTTTGCTTTGTGGTTTGCAAAGCCCTTACAGACACTTTTGTCTGAATTGGTCTTCTCTATACCACCTACGAAGTACATAAAGTGATACCATCTTGTTTTACATATATTACCCAAATGTTTACGTATTTTATTGTCTCCATTTTCATCAGGCAAAATCCAAAGAAGAGAAACGAGAAAAGTGTGGTGAAGATGACGAAACAGTCCCAGAGGAGTACAGATTGAAACCAGCCATGGTACGTTGTTAGCCATGGCACACACAGCAGCGCACGCCTCTGGCTTTCCGTGGCGGTTTGGGTGTCTGTCCCAGGAAGCGGGAGGACATGTCTGTTTTGGTTTCTATGCTAACTCTGAGCGCCCTGGACCCTTTCATCTCTGCTCTCTAGAGTCGGACCCCCTAAGGGATGGTTTCCTAAGTAGTGACCAAGTGGTAATTAAAATTCCCACAAATTCAAGCTTTTCTACTATTTACAATACTTGACGTAGGTCCTTTACCTTAAAGCAGAAGGGACAATCTGGGAATACTTTTTTCTCTAACTGCTATCTGGATAAAAGCACCATAGATCTCAGTGGTGGATAGAAACGTAGGCTGTTTATCATTGTCCTCAGTTAAGGTTTTGTTTTGAGGTAAGAATGGTGGACGAATTCCTGTAATTATAGCTGTAAAATGTCTTTGAAGTAATCACATAAACGTATGATAGAAAATAGTTGTGATTCTCACATATGTTCATAGATGAAAAGTTTTTCACTTTTAGAAATACTCTAAATTGTGAAACCTTATATCCAAAAAAACTAAAACAGTATTTTAGGAATAATATCTACCTCTTCACCCTGGGTTGGAAAATTGGCACTTAAAAATATATATATTTCACTAATGTAGTAGCACCTTTCTTCCGAAGATATTTTAAATTCAGTTTTCCTATTGAATAGGTAAAATTTTTAAAGCAACTTTTAAAGAAAAGTAAATGTGCATTATATTTGATATTTGGTCTCTTGATTTTTACAACTCAAACTTTTATTCTGATACTTTATAAATAAATCTGAAATAGAAATTCACTCAATTATGAGTAGAAAAAAGCTCTCTCCTCATATCCTGCAATTTTCCAAGACAAACATAATGGGATATGAAAGCAAAAGTTTCTATTTAGTTTTCAATGAATTTTCAATTTCATTTGCAGGATAAAGATGGAAAACCACTATTGCCAGAGCCTGAAGAAAAATCCAAGGTTGGGAAATAAGTTTTTTCTGGATACTTACAGAACAGTAGAGCTGTAAAGTATGAATTCAGATAATTGTGACAGAAGGATAAGGATAGCAACACTTGGCACAGATCTGTGACTCCTTTTTCACATATTTATTTTCCTCATGGATTAGCACTAGACTGTTATACATTGCGAGGTGACATCCCCTGCACATTAGGAGCTAATGTCAAGAGGCCCTTAAATCAGATTAACACTTTACTTGAGTTTGATTCTAATCACAGCAGCAAATACTCTAATGATTCCGCACTGCCATCACTTAAGTTGGTTTGGTATCAACCAGCAGCATTTATTAATCACTTACTATGTGCCTGACATTGTGCTAGATGCCTTTCATATGCCGTCTTTTTGTGTCATCACTAAAAGAGGAAGGTGCTATTATTATTCCCATTTTACAGGTGAGGAAACAGATTGTGTAAATAGCCTTAAGTTACACAGTTAGAACATAGCATGGCCAGGAAGCCAAATTCAGGCTGCCCAACTCGGGGCCCCGATTTTGAATTCTGTCATAGGTTACTCTTATTAGGCAAAATCACCACATGCCCGAAGCAGATAATCCACCTGCAGGAACTAAGGGTAACACAACTTTCCTGCCAAAACCCCACGTAGTCATAGGAGAGGAGAACATACTCAATTCTTCCTCTGACTTATGCAGACAGGAAGTCAGTGGGAAGGAGAAAAAGCAATCACAAAAGAAAAACTACACATATCTTCGTTAGAAAGAACAGGCAATTTTATTTGAGCAAAATTACTCTGTAATTGAAGTGTCAAGAAAACTTTAAACTATTAACATTTTTGTGGCACTGAGGTGTCTAATATTCCTTATTTGTTGCATAACACTTATATTACATTGATAAATGAAATGTCCTCTATAAACTAGCTTTTGTTCACATTGATGTTTCTTTCTGTACTTCTCCCCTCCTCTCTCAAAATCAAAAATATTTTAAAAAATAAGTTTGCTCTTGGTTTTAGATCTCATACGTCCCTATTTGTGTTAATCAGAAAAAATTCTCTATGAAAACTTTTTTTTAATGAAGTAGAAAATACCAACTTCATAATATACAATGTCTCTTGTATTACAGCCCCGGAGTGAATCAGAACTCATTGATGAGCTTTCGGAAGATTTTGACCAGGCTAAATGTAAAGAAAAACCATCTAAGCCAACTGAAAAAACAGAAGTATGTTTCTAAAAACAAGTCTCTAGCTTTGTTTGTTTTGTTTTTAAATGATTTTCTAAAAATCTTAAAAATATGATGCCGAAGGTGTTTTACCATGAAGTGGTTAATAAGAAAGCCCATTATGCTGTCTTTTTCTACACGCAGCTTTTGTTTTGCCTTTTTCTGAAGGTGCTTTCTTCCCCCAAGCTGACCTTGACTTTCTTGCAATTTAAGACCTGTAATTATTCCTGCAGGAAAGCGCTCACACCCATGCTTTCCTTTCTATTCTTGCCTCTGTGACTGACCTAGCTAACGTCATCACCACTCTCCTCAAGATGGCAATGGCCTCTGTCTTCAGTCTCCTTCCAGTCCACCCTATATGTCCACCAGAATTCTTTCTTGAGCATGCTTGTAGTCACGTCGTTCCCCTGCTCCAGCCTTCAGGAGCTACCCATTTCCTACAGAAGAAAAATTTCTGCTAATGTGTTCTGACCCCAGCTTCCTTTTCTACCCAGGTGCATCCCCACATCACTAAACTATGACATTGAACGTGTGTCTCCATGGCTTTGCTCACATGGTTCCTTCCATCTGGAATAACCTTCCCTCCTAATCCTACATCAACTCACATCTTAGTCATCCCTTTAAGGCTGTGCTAAAATATGGCCTTTGTCTCCTGCTCTCCCCTCCCCAAACCTGACCACACTTCCAACTCTAATTCAGCAGGATATAACATGCCAGGGAGTCTGTAGTTCTTTCTTTATATATCCCTGTTAAGACATTTGTTGCCAACAAGTTATTAGCTCTTGGTCCTTCTTTTTTTTGTTTGTTTTTTGTTGTTTGTTTGTTTGTTTGTTTTGTTCTTGGTCCTTTACACCTTACATTTATACATAGTTTTAAATAGTAAGGTCTTTGAAGAAGAAATCGTACCCTATTAATAGTCATCTGCTAAACACCGTGCACATAGGATAGATTTCCATAAATGCCTGGATTATAGTTTATTTGAATTCTTACCTTGTGATAAAATAAAGCTCTCAAACTCTAGCATACATCAGCATCACCTGAGGGTTTGTTAAAACAGATTGCTGTGCCCTACCCCTAGAATTTCTGATTTAGTGATGTTGGCGTGGGGGCCTGAGAATTTACATTTCTAATAAGTTCTCTGGAAATGCTGAGGCTGCTGGTCCAGGGACCACACTCTGAGAACTCCTGGGGTAGTCTTACTGCTTGCATTTGTAGATAGCTGTTTACAATGTGCAGGGTGCTCTTAGATACATAAAAATGATGTATTTATGTAAAATGCTACATTGTATTATATGATTGATATATGATGAGAAATAATTTATAGAAATAAGAAATCAGAAATAATAGTTGCTAAAATTTATTGCATTTACTGTTCCCAGGTACTATGCAAAACACTTCACATGTTTTATCTCCTTAAAGCCCCCTGTTAACACTTGATATATAGGTACTACTATTGTTCTCACTTTTCAGATGTGGAAACTGAGTCTTAACCTACCTAAGGAGAGAGATAAAACTACTAGTAAGTTGAAATAACGGTAGCCGAAGAGCTTTAACGTGCCTTGACTTATTCACTATTCAGCAACCTTAGGTGTCCAGGAAAATCATGCTCACAGAGTATTCTATAGCTGAGTGTATTGTTGATTCATCATTGTTCAGTATTACTAGCCAGATAGCTTGAAAAGTGCGTCATCATACCTGCTTCTTCCCACAGGAACCGCAGGCCGCCGCCCCGGCTCCGGTGGGAGAGGATGTGCCTCGCGCCTCCTTGTGCAGTGTGCAGTCAGCACCACCCAAGCCCGCGGCCTTGGTGAGTGGTCCTCTGGGCACTGAGAAATGTCCCGGGAAAGTGATATTCCTCCCATACACTGCTCTGTGCGCCAACCTATGGTTTTATTCTGACACAATAAGAAATCTTCTCTAGCTCTAGTCGCTACTGTTTGGGGCTTCAGGGTGTGCTAGAAAGTCAGGCTATATTTAAATTTTTAATTAGATTCCTGTAAGCTGTGTTTTTTCTTGCACCTTCTGAAATCCTTTCTAGTTCCTCAGTGATGGTGAGTAGTCATGCTGTTTCACTTTTCTGCATTTTTCGAGCCTATTTGGAGTTCCACAAAGAGCCCGATCTCCCTTTTCCTGACTCCTGGGGGGACAATCTGCACCAGTATCATCAGGACCCCCACTCCCACCTGAAGGGGGAGGGATTGACTCAGCTCCTCTCCCTTCTTCATTTCTTGCCTCTCTCTCACTTTCTATCTTTTGGATGAATTCTGATATTTAACTAGTGGAATCTTTGTTTCCTTTTGAATTCACTAGCCCATAGAGCCTGACTTAGAAAATAACATCAGTGGTCTATGTTTCAGTACTACGGACTTGGTGGCTCTGTACTCTGAATAGTTAACCTGTTCTAGATGCTTTACAGTATCTTCTTAAATTTTCACAGGGACACGATACAGACTGATCATCTGTTATAGATGAGGGAAATGAACCTATAAACTGACCTTGAACAAGCAACTTAACCTTTCAGAACCGTAGCTGAAATGAAAATATGGCTCCAGCCCTAAGCTACCTTCAAGTCTAGTGTGGATATGGGTCAGATCTCAAGCTTACGGCACAACTTGATCACTCATGTGGAAAAGGGCACAGGGACTGTGGGTGCCTCCCCCTCCGGGAGAATTAGGAAAGGCTTGCAGGTGATGGGCAGCGTCACACTGAGGGTGGGAGTAGCGCTGTTTCGTGGGGAGACCAGTGAGCCGAGGACAGGCCAAGCACCGGGTGTGCGGCACTTGGGATACTTGGGATATGTGCATCTAGGTGTTTGAGGTGTAGGGCCAGTGTCCTGGGTGTCCGGCAGTGGCTCTTCCCACCAGGGAAGTCCTTGGTGCCAACTGCGAATCCCCTCAAAGCCCAGGGTCTCCCTCCTGCCATATGCAAGATTTGAGCCCCCCCCTCTTTCTGGAGGTTTCAGGGTACTCTCTAGAACAGTGGTTCTCAACCTTCCTAATGCCGCGACCCTTTAATACAGTTCCTCATGTTGTGGTGACCCCCAACCATAAAATTATTTTCGTTGCTACTTCATAACTGTAATTTTGCTACCGTTATGAATCGTAATGTAAATATCTGATAGGCAGGATGTATTTTCATTGTTACAAATTGAACATAATTAAAGCATAGTGATTAATCACAAAAACAATATGTAATTATATATGTGTTTTCCGATGGTCTTAGGCGACCCCTGTGAAAGGGTCATTTGACCCCCCAAAGGGGTCGCGACCCACAGGTTGAGAACCGCTGCTCTAGAAGTTCAGCATTGTGGGAGCCAGGCACAGGCCATGGTGGCAAAGACCAGGAGAGAGGAGAGAACCTGAGAACAGGCTGGAGAAGGAGTAGGAACAGAGGCCGTGATGGGAATCAGGACGATAATAGCCAGCATTCCAGGGCAGAACCCTGTGACCTAAGCATGTGTCATCCACCGCTCATGCCAAGTGCGACTGCCAGGGCCTCCGAGGGCTCAGTGACTTCCTCTCCAACCTCACCCTGACTGTAGAGCCCAGCGTTGGGCGTTTAGTGGACAGAAAACAAACAGAGCTCTTGTTTTCCCGCTCTCTGCCCCCCTTTCCCGGCCTGTGCCCCAGCAGCTCTGGTTACCACAGTTGCCAAGATTACCGTCACCGAGGTTCGCTGGCGTTTCTGGGATTGTGACACCCTTGGGAACCAGAGAGAGTAGCTACAGTGTGTGATAAAGGTCAGAGGACTTGAGAAAGGCTTGAGGATTAGTGAGCAAAAGGTAACAAAGACCAGGGGCAGGAGGTGACCATGTGGTTCTTGTTTGTATGTAAAGAACATTTATTGAGGAAATCCAGAGATCTGAGTTCTGGTTCTGAATCTGACAACATGAAATGCTGTAGAAATAGAAGTTTTAGTCCTTAGTCCTATTTCCAGATTCCTTAGTTCTTAAGACTGCTGCTGCTTCTCCAAGCTTTTCTGTTGCACTTTTTTTATTCCCCATGAAACTTATTGGGGTGATGTTGGTTAATAAAATGATATAGGTTTCAAGTGTTCAGTTCTATGATTTACCATTTGTATATTGCATTGTACGTTTATCACCCAAAGTCAAATTTTCTTCTACCACCATATATTTGACCCCCTTTGCCCTACCTTCCCCATCCTCCCTTCCCTCTGGTAACCACCATACTCTTGTCTGTGTCTATGAATTTTTGTTTGTTTTTCTTGTCTGTTCATTTGTTGCTTTCAGTTTTATATCCCACATATGAGTGAAATCATATGGTTCTTGACTTTCTGTCTGACTTATTTCTCTTAGCATAATATCCACCCATGTTGTCACAAGAGGCAGTATTTCATCTTTTTTTTTTAAGGCTGGAAATCACTTATTTCTTAAGTCAAAGGACAGAGGCTCAGGAAAGAGTGGTTTCGAAAGATTCTACAGCAGAGAGTAGGAGAAAGCAGACATAGAGCGTGAGCAGGTGTCTGGGATCAGATAGCAACTCGAGTTGCTTGGCTAAGATTTGGGATTGCTGCAACGCTTGCAATTTAGATATAATCGCAAACAAATTAGTTACAGCAGGGATTTTTGTTGCTCTTGGAATAAAAATCTATGCAGCATCCAACCACTAGATGGCGATAAATCACTTTCCACTTAGGCTCCCTTTCCTCGGTGGTGGTACTCCCTTAGGCAGTGCAGTTTAGCAGAGAAACAACTTTTTTCACTTGGAATGATGGCCAAGCTATACAAGAGAAAGAGACTTTTACTCTAAAATCCCAATATATACTCAGTCTGAGGTCATAGACTTTTCCGATAAGAATAAAGTTTGGGAGACTGTTTAATTCAGGGGCTTTCATATTTTTGACCAAGACCAATAGTAGGAAATGTATTGGTATCACAACCTAGGACCCACACAATAGAAACAGCAGTTTAATAAGTGGTACTTATCTTTGTTATGCAAGATGTGTTCTGTTCTACTGTTTTATTAAAAAAACAAAATGTCCTGGCCACGAACTCTAAATTGATTTCACGAGCCATTCACGTGTGGCTCGTGGCCTGTGGTTTGGAAGAAGCCAGATATAGTCCTTTCTTTTAGCCCAAACGTAGTTAGTTTCTTCTTGTTTTCCCTTTTATACCATCTATGCTCGATGCCCACCCACGTTCTCACTACATCATGAGGGAGCACATTTCATTTGAACCGGACCACAGTGTCATTGTGCCCCTCGGGTCAATCAGCCACAGGCGTTCACCTGGGTCAGCGTGAATCCCTTTGAGCAGGTGAGGCCAGCTTGCCGACATGGGCTTCTGTGCCTCAGCAGGAGTGCCGCCCCCCCGGGACGGCCAGGCTGGTTCCCAGCACCTCGAGAAGAATGTCCTCTCCTGGGCTTCTCTGGAAACCTTTCCTTCACCGCCTCAAGAACAGCCTCAGAAAACCACTCCTTTCTTCTGTCCTGGCTGTCAGCTTGTCTGTGGGGCACCTCTTCCGTTGCCTGCCTTATATCCAAACCAAAACCGCTGGGTTAGAGCTTACAAGTTTCTCAGTGTCGGTATATCCGTTGCACACACTTCATGCTTAATACATGAAACTTGCTCTGATTTCTAACGTAGATTCTAATTCAGTTGATAATCCAAATGATTAAAAGATAACATGCGCTTCTTATCCAGGTCTGAAATTGTTTGATGTAGTCTCTTTAAAGGGAGGCATTAACCCCCTATTTCATACCTCCGCTCCTGTATTGTAGAAGGGCATGGTGCCCGACGACGCTGTGGAAGCCTTGGCTGGCAGCCTGGGGAAACGGGAGGCGGACCCAGAAGATGGAAAGCCGGCGGAGGATAAAGTCAAGGTAATGGCAGCTCAGATGCTTCTAGAAATAACTACCATTGATCACCCTCAATCCCCAAATAAGTTCGCCATTTTTTAGAATGTTTCCCACAACACGTGACCAGCTGGCTTTCCCTGTTGCTGCACTTACCCCGCTTAAGAAGCTCGGCCTGAGCGAGCATCAGGCGTGAGCATGGCGGTGGATGGACAGCATGCCCGTGTCAGAGTCCGGGGTCTCCCCTGGCCCACCTGCACGCCTGTTGCCCAGGGCTCGGGAGAGAAGTGGCAGTTGCCTGCTTCCTCGGGACTTCCTTGGAGCCCAGCAGGCTCCGTGGTGGGGTCTGAGCCCGCTAAACCGGGACACTGTTAAAGATTAAGGTGCCGTCGGAACTCTGCACATAGGGTCATATGTACGTTCTAACCTAACGATGGACGTACTAGTATTTACCTCAGCATTAGTCATTCAGGCAGCCGCTCTATGGAGAAAAGATGTATTGACAATGGAAATGGTATAATTTCTATTTAGGAGAAAACCAAAGAGGAGGATCGTGAAAAGCTTGGTGAAAAAGAAGAAACAATTCCTCCCGACTATAGACTAGAAGAGGCCAAGGTAAATTGGCTGGGGTGTACTTTCTACTTTATTTTAATTCATACTGAATTCCACATATGTAAAAAGGGGGATGGGAGCAGACCTGGAATATAAAGATCTGCATTTTTAATACTTCAAATACCAAATAGTATTGATATCCTGTTAGCGCACCAGATGTGAAGCTAAAATATTCCTAACTGGCATTTTTAGTCCTCCCTGAAGTGAAAATAATCTAAGGTCTAAGCCCATGGTTGGCAAACTGCAGCTCGAGAGCCACACTCAGCTCTTTGGCCCCTTGAGTGTGGCTCTTCCTAAGCCTTAGGAGTACCCTAATTAGGTTAATAACAATGTACCTACCTATATAGTTTAAGTTTAAAAAATTTGGCTCTCAAAAGAAATTTCAATCTTTCTACTGTTGATATTTGGCTCTGTTATGAGTTTGCCGACCACTGGTAAGCTACCTAATTTTTCCCATCTAATCCATGGTTTGTTACAATACCAGAAGAAAACTTAGAAAGCTTTATATAGATAGGAAAATGGAAATGGACAGTTGTTTCCTGTGAGGGAAAATTTGCAACTTCTAGATATAAAGAAAAAAATAAGAGCGCTGTTTTCTTTATTTTGGATGTACAGATTGTTCAGAACAAGTGACAGGGGAGACCCCAGTATGAATCTTGTAGTTTAAGTTCGGCCACTTGAACAGGAGCAGATGCATGGGCAGTAGAACAGATGCCAGTATTCTCCATTATGTGCCGTTACTTAAGAGGATATCCACCTAAACATGAACAGTTCAGGAAAATCCACCTGATACTCCCCTTCCTCGTCCCATGTGCACTGCTCCTTTTGCAAAGATGGGAGCTCTATTGAGCTCTCCCAGGTTGAGTTTATTATTCTGCTTGCTTCTGCATTTTTTTTTAATCCTCACCCAAGGGTATTTTTCCATTGGTATTTAGAGAGGAAAAGACAGAGAGAAATATCAAAGTGAGAGAAACACATCGATTGGCTGCCTCCTGCACAAGCCCCAACCTGAGCCCGGTCCAGGGAGAAGCCTGCAACTGGAACCAAACCGGGACCCTTGGGTCCACAGGCCAATGCTCTATCCGCTGAGGAAAGGCGGCTAGGGCTGCTTCTGCATTTCCCAGTTCAGTTGAGACCGTGGCATTTCTATTAGTAATATGGGCTTGGGTGTTTGCTGTTGCAAGGTTTTTAGAGAGCTTCTTACCGGCCACGTGTTCTGTCCCTACTCACCCCCTCCCCAAATGTGTAGAGGCAGGTCACTGTCCTCCTCATGGGATGTTGGTTGCTTTCTCGCTCCCTTTGCTGAATTTTAGTAGCAGTGGATTGGCTTTCCCTGACCACTTTGTTCGGTGGAAGGTTCATGTTGCCTCTAAAGTTAACCAGCTTTTTCTAAGCTACTTCTGCAAGCCCTCCGACCCCCAGGCTCCCCCCAGGCTCCCACGGCGCCCTGCAGATGCCCTGTCACAGCACCACGCGCCGCATACATGAACCGTTCACGTGTTTTTTCCGGCACTTGTTTGTGCGCTTCCAAGGTCACAGGCTGCCCCATCTGCTTTGTAGCCCTTGTGCCCAGGGAGTACCTGGTGTGTGTGAGCTGTTTGGTGCCATGAACTAATTATGGCATATTCTCTGGTGAGAGACTCTGTTTCCTGAAATGATGATCTAATTGATAATGCACAGCAACATCAGGTATAACCTGATAATGTTTACAAGGGTCCATCCTTAGGATGAATGCGAAATGACTCAGTGCCATGTTTTTCTCCCCTTGGATAGGACCAAGACGGGAAACCACTCCTGCCGAAAGAGTCCAAGGAATCGCTCCCAGTAAGCAAGCCAGTTTTCTCTGAGCATGTCTTTCTCACGTGGCCCTGACTGTAATTCAGGAAGGGCATAGCTCCTCTTAATGAGTTGACCAGCTTATGAATACTAACGTCATTTTGAAGATGAGACAAATGAGGTGTCTGATACATTTCCTGGTTCTTGCAGCCCTTGAGTGAAGACTTCCTTCTTGATGCCTTGTCTAAGGACTTCGGTGGACCCCCAGACACTTCACCACTTGTAAGTCTGAAACCCCTGGTTTTATTTCCTCACTTTCAGAGTGGCAGAAATAAATGGAAACCTGTGACTTGGAATCTGACTTGGGAGCTGAGGAAACAGTCACAGAATTAATGGCCCTCAACCCACAGTAGCCACTAAAAATGTGTTGCATCATAAAATAGTAAATATTGTTCCAGCACAGTTAATATTTTCAACAGTGTCACTAATTAAACCAGTGATGAGCATGTACTCTATCAGTATACCTATCAAAAGAGAATTTCAAATTGAGTTTATCTAAAATTACTTCTTAGACAACTTTACCAGTTGATATTCTACAATTTGGTCATTTTCCAAATTACCTCTAAGGAAACTTAGCTTCCTGTGGAATATATAAGCCTTCAAAGGGAATTCTGTTACTAGAAAGTTTGGAAAATGTTGGGTAACCGTAAGCAGGTTTCTCCACTGTAGGATTTTCAGGACTTTTGGAGTTTCCAAACGTATGTAACTGCAGAACCTTTTCTGTGGAGTCTGGGTTATTTAATCCTATGTGGACAATGGCATGGGAAATATGTATCAGTTGAGAAATAGAATAAGTAACAAGTAGAAAAAAATGATTCCTTGGAGTTGTCAGAAGTTTTTGCTCTCACCTTTGTACATAACATTATGTATGCTATGTATATTAGTAACAGATTAGAAAATATAATTAACAAGATGTAGACATATCTACAGAAAATTGCAATAGAAGACAAAACAAAAACAAAAACAAAAAGAATATGAAGAAATTAAAACCCATACATCTAACGCAGTTTGATAAATGTCTTAAAAGGATGACAACAATTATTTCCAGTCATTTTTAAGTTAATATTTTTTAAAAGTAGTAATGTTACTTTAATATAACTCAAAGTTATTCTGAAATATATTTGAAAGGGAATGCATAAAAATGTGAAAAAAAATACTGAAAAACATTTTTCGCTCTTTTTAGGGAAGATTAACCTAACTAAACACAAGGCTTTATAATACAATAATGGTTAAAAAAAATACAATTCTTATTCAGAAAGCAAAATCACAGGGCAATGGAAAAAGAAATCAAGAAATGAACATAAATGACAGATTTAGTATATTTTTAAAATGAGAGAAGAAATCACTTCATAAAGATTCTGGAATAATAATAAAACTGAAACTTCATACTATATAACGGGTAACAGTCGTACATCATACCTAATATATTATCAGAGTTTGAAATATATGATAAATACCTCATTTTGGTGAGCAAGGCTTGCTTATTCACTGCTTTTAACAGTATAACTTCCTAGTAACTTCTGAGAGGGCAGTTTGGCAGAATTTAGCCAACACCAAAAAAAAAAAGAACCACTGCTAGAACTTTGATTCAGGGCAACTAATTACACAGGAGAAAGCTGAAAAACTGCAAAAATATAATAAGAAATGTGTAAACAACCCATGAAGCTCTAAGTCATTAGATTACTGAGCACCATTTAGAATCATAAATAGGAATAGAAGTTGTGCAAAATAATACCACGGAGTAAGAAATAGAATAAAAATCGCTCTTAAGATTCTATGTTACTAGGCTTTCCCTTTGGATCAAGAGAATTAACAATCATAAAGCTATATTAAGAGTTGTATTTAAGTGATGGCATTGTGAACATAGTTTTGTATATAACATATTAACGATCAAAGTCTTTCTTTTAACAGAAGCCATTGGACAATACTAAACTCACAGCTGCCATCTCCGAACTGGTTTCCCAAACCCCAGCTGCAACCACGCACTCCGCAGGCCCACCCCCTAGCACTCTGGTAAGCAACATATCTTATAAATACTTTTTCCACGGTAGCAACAACCAGAGGAAAGAAAGTAGGACTCCTGCCTAGAGTAAGCGGAAATAGACAAAAATTGTTAGAAAGATTGGGCACCTTCAGAAGAGAGAAGATTAGCGACTGAGGGAGAGGACAGAATATTGAAAATGGTCAAAGGAAACAATATATGTGAAAATATTTTATACACAGTTGAGGAGCTTAAATTGTTGCTTTATTAGAATTGAAAGTGCAGCGTGTACATATTTAAATTATTTGATTTGAAATTTTTTTTCCAGCTTTTCTGATCATTGATTTTTCTTCTTTTTTTCTTAACACACACCGTAAATACTCTCCATTATTTAACTTCAAGTTTATTTTATGGAATTGTTCAGTATTTGAGCTTCTCCCCCCCAAAAAACTAACAAACGTAGCATGGACTGGCATTGTTTTCCTCCCATTCACACCAGTTGAACATGTGTCATTTTCATGCTAGCAATAGAAAAACCTCAGCATCAATACTGTTTTAATTATTTACATGTTCCGAGGCAAGACTGAGGGATCAAAGTTCTTCCAGACTTCCTTGATTAATTTTCTGTGCAGTACCAAATGTGAAATTATCGAGGAGACCATGGCACATCAAAAGATAGAGATTGCCCTAAACCAGACCCCCATCTCCCCTGGTTGAGAAGCGCCGGGTTTGCTAGATGGAGATGAAGTAGCTTTAGTGAAGTCAGCTATGCTTCCTCTCCTTTTGATGTAGCATCAAAGCTCACTTAGTGCTGTAGTCAGAGATTCTGAGTGAATTTTCAGCCTGTTGGGTCAGCCTCAGGAGCATCTGAAAATATCCAGAGGCACAAATGACAAAGCCCAGACCCTGCGGCGGGCGGGCAGCTCCACCAGCAGCAGCTATAATCCTGGGCTCTCAGGGAGCACGTAAAGCTAGTAAAATGCTGTGTGTGTGTGTGTGTGTGTGTGTGTGTGTGTGTGTGTGTGACACCCACAGGATGAAAGCCCTGTGCCGCAGAAAGGAGGAATCATTAATAACCCAGGCCGCCTTAACACTTCAGTTCTTAATACTCAGGTGAGGGGCTCTGCCCCGACGGAGGCTGTTAGTAGACATCCACAATCAAAGGCCTTTTCTTTTTAAGCAAAACGATTCCCGATTTTATTTTCTTTCAGTTATTTTTCTTTTTCAACTACAGTTTACATCTAATATTAATTTGCATTAGTTTCAGGTGTACAGCATAGTGGTTAGATAATCATATACTTTACAAAGTGTTCCCTCCCCCCTATTTCCAGGACCCAGTGGGCACCATACGTAGTTATTAAATATGAACGATGTTCCCTATGCTGTACTTTATATCCCAAGACTATTTTGTCACCTCTCAATTCCTTCACCTTTTTCACCCAGTCCCCCAATGCTGCTCCCCCCTGGCAACCATCAGTCTGCTCTCTGCATCTCTGAGTCTGTTTCAGTTTTGTTCTTTAGATTCTACATATAAGTAAAATCATGTTAGTTGTCTTTCTCTGACTGACTCATTTCACTTAGCACAATACCCTCTAGGTCAGCGGTTCTCAACCTGTGGGTCGCGACCCCTTTGGGGGTTGAACGACCCTTTCACAGGGGTCGCCTGAGACCATCGGAAAACACATATAGCATATCAGATATTTACATTACGATTCATAACAGTAGCAAAATTACGGTTGTGAAGTAGAAACGAAAATAATTTTATGGTTGGGGGTCACCACAACATGAGGAACTGTATTAAAGGGCCGCGGCATGAGGAAGGTTGAGAACCACTGCTCTAGGTCCATCTGTGCTGTTGCAAATGGTAGGATTTTGCTCTTTTGATGGGCACTTGGGCTGCTTCCAAATCTTGGCTATTATATGTAACACTGGCAATGAACATAAGGGGGTATATATCCTTTCGAATTAGTGTTTTGCGTTTCTTTGGATATATACCCAGAAGTGGAATTTCTGGGTCATAAGGCAGTTCCAATTTTTTTTTATGAACCTCCATACTGTTTTCCATAGTGGTTGCACCTATCTGCATTCCCACCATCACGTGGTTTAAATTTGCATTTCTCTGGTGATTAGTGACAGTGAGCATCCTTTTGTATGTCTGTTGGCCATCTGTGTGTCCTGTTTGGAGAAGTATCTATTCAGGTCCTCTGCACATTTTTAAATTGGATTGTTTGTTGTACAAGTTCTTTATAAATTTTGGATATTAGCCCCTAATCATTGGCAAATATTTTTTCCCATTTAGTAGGTTGTCTTTTCATTTTGTTGGTTTCCTTTGCTGTACTAAAACTTTTTAGTTTGATGTAGTCTCATTTATTTTTTCTTTTGTTTCTCTTGCCTATATATGTCAGAAAAAAATACTGCTAAGAGAAATGTCAGGGATTTTACTGCCTATGTTTTCTCCTAAGAGTTTTATGAAGGTGGTCTAGTTTCTTTTTACATGCATCTGCCTTTCACAAGTGTATTTTAGAATGCTACCTTTTTTTAAATCAGTTTTTCCATCAGAGGGTCTAGTTTTAGTTAATATTTTATTTGGAGCCATCACCAAAACTAGGTGTAATCTGTATTTAAATGAATATACTCCAGAATTAAAGAGTAAACTAAACTATAATATTTCATTGCTGGGGACATTAGATTGTCACCAGTAGTGTTACAGACACTGAAAGCATTTTTAAGACATATTTCCAAGCAAATCAGGCCAGAGAACCCCATTTTTTTAGAGAGACTTCTTTTCTTAGACGGTACAAGATATCTGGGGGTGGGGCGGGGGTAGACAGGTGCCAAGTGGTCACTGAGAGCAGAGAGAAAAGCACTGACCAAGGGTTGGCAGTCCAGTGCCTTCCACCCACCCAGTCCATCTCCCTTGTGAAAATCCTCATGGAAGTATTAGCGGTGATGTTGGGGCCATTCTCCAATGGGTGATCTGATTTGGCTAACCAGTGATTAATTCAGATTTACCTTAACAGAAGGACAAAGAACTCGACGATGCCCTGGATCAACTTTCGGACAGTCTAGGGCAGAGGCAGCCTGATCCAGATGAGGACAAGCCAATAAAGGATAAAGTCAAGGTAAAGAAAATTTAAGGCTTTTTTCACAGCATAGAATACTCTACCCTCTACACACAAAAAAAAAATAACTTCCAACTTTGTCTGGAGTTAGTGAATAGTTGGAGAACTTTCATTTTTCCCCCTCTCTGTGGTCTATGTTGTATTTCTTTACTTCCTCGGTGAGGACTACGCTGTGTCACAGATTCAGGCAAATGTCCTGTTTGTGAGGCCAAACCTTGTTATGAAGGAAAAGCATATGACACCCATAAGTGTGCATTTCTTAGGTTGACACAGTCTGTGCACGTCATGGCAGAGATTTCCCGAGAAGCTTTCTCTGCTGGCATAACTAACTGTGTGCAAATTCCCAAAGGAAGAGAGCGTGGGACCAGGAGTTCAACACTGTGCAGAGGTGTGTCTGCAAGGCACAAACTGTTATCTCTCCATGTCTTATACAACATGTGTTTATACTTAACATACAATATTCAACAATCCATTTAGCTTTGAGCCAGGAAGTAAACTGACCATCCAAATTGGTGTCCCAAAAACAAGACATTTCAAAGAATCATTTACATAGGAATACTGAATGTGAACCTAGCCTATATTTGAAAAATGAAACTTAAAAGATGCAGAAAAACAAAATCTAAAGCACTCCCTGGGCTGGGGAGAGACCAGCCACACCCCACTGAGGTGGGATGCTAGGCTCCAGGTGCTGCTTACTTAACAGCAGGTATTTTCTCACGTGCAACACCAGCGGTCAGCGCATCCAGTCAGGGTTGCTAAAAAATAGTGGCTACCTATCTAAAGCCAAGCTACAGTGACTTGATTCTTTTGTTTGAAAAGTGAAACTCACAGAAAAAGGTATTTTATGCCCTTGAATTTTATCTCTTTACATGGTTTCTGGAATAATTATTTAATAATTTACTTCAGTTTAAAACACAGGTGGAAAATTCACAGATGTAAACTGACATAGAAGCACATGGGTTTAATTTTTTCCATCAACTAATAGTATGTTCAAGTCATGCATTTTGTTCTCTTAAATAAAAATATGTTTTGCCTCAGAAAATAACATACAATAAATGCTGAAAATGCTGTATTTCACAATAAGCAAAGGAGGAAAGGAATATTAATTATATCCATTCAATGTTCACAGGAAAGAGCGAAAGCTGAACATAGAGACAAGCTGGGAGAAAGAGATGACACTATCCCACCTGAATACAGACACCTCTTGGATAACGATGATAAGGTAAACGAAGGCAAATGTCTAGATTGGATACATATAACAAAGCCTTTTAAATTCAACCCTCACTTGACATGACCAGGAAGGCACACTTTAAGAGTAGCATAAAAATGTAATGTGACTATTTTTAATGTGCCCATGATAAACAGGCTTTCTAGGATTCTATTTAATATTTATTGACACCAATATTGTTTGATGTTTCGTTATGTGGACACCGTGGTGTAAAGAGTTGAATAATGTGCAGTCACTCACTGAAGCTCAACAGAGATTCCAAGGCATTTACACAGATGAATTCTTTTTACAAGAAAAGACTATCAAAAAGAATAATGGTATTTGTAATCCTAACTGAAGCAGAATCTCCCTGTTTAAGGAGCTAGAATTGGAATAATTAATAGGGCAAATAAGGCACCTGCAAACCTGGGGTCTCCCTTTCTTCCTTCTTCTACACCCACAAAACCCTATCCTCAATCATAAGTCCCATTTCTATAGCTACACATATTCTGTCAAGAAATCCTGGCCTTTGCCTCTAACAGAAGCCAGTTTTTCTTAGGTCAACCTGGCCTGTATCTCTCCCCATTCTGTTTGGCTCCTAGCTTCAAGTCAATTAGATGACACATAATGCTTTCCAGGCCTGTTCATCAAATACAAACAAGGGAGTCCAAGTTACATCCGTCTTTTTGTCCTGCATTTGGTTTATGGGGGTTACCAGCTTGAGTGTCTGTCTTACAGGAATCCATTCTCCTTGCTTTCATTCAGTATTCCTCATGATGGCAATTCTGCACCCAGCTACAATCCTCCCTGCTTTGGTAGTCCCACCTGATCCTGCTTGAATTGTTGGGAAATGAATTATGTAATGTCCTTGCCTTCGTAGATGGGAAAAATCCCTGACGGGCTGTGCTCTGCAGACTGCTCCTCAAATCCTTCTGACCTATAATAAGCTGCAGTAACTAAGACATAAAATCACAAGTTGCTTTTGTAATATTTTAAGTAGAATTGTAACACATGATGGCAGAAAGTTCCTAAACAGTGTTTCTTTCACCTCCAGGACCAGACTCTCACTCTTGCTTTTTCTCCCAGGAAACTGAAATAGGTATAGGGTGGTAATTAAGCAAAGCTGGTGGAGAAGGGTAGGGACCCAGGTTATCAGTTGTTGCAAATATATACTCTCCAAGTCAAGTCATTGGATAATATTGATTATATAAATGCTGACTACACTTAAGTAAACCTTTACAAAAATTTATGTCTAATCAATAGTCTGCTTTGCTTTTAAGGACAAACCAGTGAAGCCACCCACAAGGGAACCAAAGGTAAATACCATAGGCGCTTATTTCTATAAAAAGATTTTTTTTTTAAATTCTAGCTGCAACTTTTGCAATTTAGAAATATTTATTGAATGCCCACCCTGTGCTTGGTGTGATGCCAAGGGTATTTAAGAGTGTATTATTTTCTTTCAGTCAGTCTTCCCAAGAACCTTTCAAAATAGGCAGTTTCATTTTCCATATGAGAAAATCAGGGCTCTGAGAATACTAAGCAACTTGCTATCCATGTTTTTTGTTTTAATATCTCCCTTGTAAAACATTACTTCATTAGAAAAAGAATGTCATCAAGTTTCTTTTTAATAAGGGGTGTGGAAAAAGGTACTACCCAGCATTTTTTTCCTTGCTTTCTTCACTGGTGGTTATTTCTGTTAATGTTTCAGAAACCTGCAGATGATCAAGACCCCATTGATTCCCTCTCAGGGGATTTTGACAACTGTTCTTCAAGTACAGAAACCTCAGAGAACACAGCAAAGGTACTGTACTTTGTCATACTGACTTTCTTTGAATGTGTGTCTACACATATAATTTTAGACTATAAAGTATATTGATGCCATAGAAGAAAACAATTCTACTACCCTGAAAACACTACTTAGTACATTTCTTGTCTTTCCATCTCTATATATTTTATATAGTTGTATTTAGAGTCCATAAAATACAGTGCATAACATTATTTCATAAATATTTTCCATGTTGCCATCATTTTTTACTGCCACACTATATTGCTGTACAACAATGCTTCCTCCTCATCCCTCGGGGCCCAGTTCAACTATCAGCTCCTTCAGGAAGGCTTCTCTTACCACTTCTTCCTTCCCTGCCATCTGGGTTACCTATGGTCACATGTGTATTACACCACTCAGCTGTGTACTTCACTTGGTAGTGATATGCCTTTTACCTCTCTCTGTGCTCAGCATTAGCAAAATGCCTGGTATGTAAAAGATGTCAAAATGTGTTTATTAGTGAATGAAAAAAATATGTGTGTGGCATTTTACCTTTATATTATACCCTTCCATAAATCAGGAGAAAAAGTGAAATTAACCGTAGATCTCGGTTTGCTATTATGTATATCTCCCAATCACTGAATTTCCAGTCCTTCCCCTATTGCAGTGGTTCTCAACCTTCCCAATGCCGCGACCCTTTAATACAGTTCATGTTGTGGTGACCCCCAATTTCATTGTTACAAATTGAACATAATTAAAGCATAGTGATTAATCACAAAACAATGTGTTTTCCGATGGTCTTAGGTGACCCCTGTGAAAGGGTCGTTCGACCCCAAAGGGGTCGCGACCCACAGGTTGAGAACTGCTGCCCTTTGGGTGATTTAATTCCTAGTCTGCCTCAGCAACTGATTTCTCATTCCTGGAAACTCAAATAATGTCTTTTTGGTGAGTGGGCTTTATTTTTATACATGACTTCCCCCAGCTATCTGTGGTTATCTCCATTTCTCTTTGTAACACTGAAAACAATGTCCTATTCTTATTCTTGATGAGCAATATAAGGTCTGGGTGAATCACAGGCATCCTGGAAATTGTCAGAGCATCAGTGTGACCCACATTTCCCGCATTTTTATCCTCTTACCTCCAACCTTAATCACTTCTGTATACATTCATCATTGTTCAAAAAATCCTGACTAAAACGCCCAAAGTTTTTAATTATTTAATTGGAGATCTCCATGCTACTAAAAATAGTAGTCTGAATTGATAGATGGATTAATGATGGCAATAGCCTCATTACCTTTCCTTTGCTTTAGGACAAAGACAAGAAGACTGCTTCCAGCTCCAAAGCACCCAAGAATGGGGGGAAAGCAAAGAATTCTGCAAAGGTAAACAGAGCACTTAAATATATTACAACTTAATTTAGCAGTTACAAGTGGCATTTATCATTTTAGTCATTTAATTTCTGATTGGAATCTATTTAGAATAAAAATTTAAGCATTAAACACTACCTATCCCATGTCTTGGTAAAGAAATTGAAGTTTTAAAGACTTTTTTAAAAAAACTAACTGGTACTTTAGAAACCTAAATGAGCATTCTTATCACAACCGTTAAAACTCCACTAGAGTCACCCTAGCTGGTTTGGCTCAGTGGATAGAGTGTCGGCCTGCAGACTGAAGGGTCTCGGGTTCGATTCTGGTCAAGGGCACATGCCTGGGTTGTGGGCTCGATCCCCAGTAAGGGGTGTGGAGGAGACAGCCAATCAATAATTCTCTCTCATCATTGAAGTTTCTATCTCTCTCTCCCTTTTCCCTTCCTCTCTGAAATCAATAAAAAAAAAACAAAAATTAAAAAAAAAAACAAACACACCACTAGAATCCTATTCTGATCTGGAGAATATCGCACAAAGTACTGATGGTGTCCCATGTCAGGTCTTCACACTCCCTTCCCAGCCACATCCCCCCTGTCTTCAGATGGCCTTGCCTTCTACTTCAAAAAGAAAAGTGGAGGTCTCTGCAGAAAATCCCTAAGGTCCTCTTCCCACTTACCCATTGACTAACCCTCTCTCCCAGCAGTCAATAATCCACTCCCTCCAAAATCTTCAGTTTCTTCATCTCAATTTCCCCCCTTACAGTAAATATGTTTAAGTTCTTTCCTCACTCTAAAAGCAATATTCAAACTTAGTAGCCCTCTGCCTATTTCCCTCCATCCTTGAAAGATCCAAGATTTGTTTCCTCATCTTGAGCTCTGCCTGAGATCAGCAATGACATGCTATTAGCTATATCATTAATCTCTCTTAGATCTGATGCTGTCATGTGATTGAGAGTTTAGGGAATATTGGGATGGGTGAATGCGTTTTGCACCTTCACCTCTCTAAAGACCCAGGCCACCACTTCCAACTGAACATTTCCACTTGGATAACACATTGACAGTACAGGTTCATATACTGCAGCTCATTAAATCTAAATTACCATCTATAAAATAAACCATTACTTTGTGTATCATTAAGGGGAAAAAAAGTCAATTTGATTATGATATGCTATTCATTGAAAGAACCATTGCAAATTCAGATATTTTAAAAGGCGGGGTGGGATACCACCAGAGAATATGGTTATCTAAATTTAAGAATATAGAAGTAGTATATAGAATTAGGGAAGATCTTAGAGTTTCAATACTATTGTATATGATTTTTCATGTTGCTCTAGAAAGTAAAACTAATGCTGAGTGGAAGCTTTAGGTTCCAGTTTCAAGCTTCTCCTATTATTTAAATTATTCAAACTGTTGTCAGTAAAGAAATGGAAATTGGATTAGATAACTTCTGGACCCATTCCAATTCTTAAACATATGATTCATATGGTTACTACTCTGATTCCCTAACTATCATGGGAAACTAAAGGTACAGGTTTAAAACCAATAGCCCAGCTACATCAAAACTCTACAATTAGATACTTCCAATTCAAGATGGTAACACAGGAAGAGCCTGAACTCGCCTCCTTCCATGGACACGGAATCTAAAACTATAGGTGAAACAATTTCCTCTGAAAAAAAATCCAGAAACTAGCTCAGTGACTCTTACTCATTGGACAAGTGAGAAAAAAAAAACCACCCACATCAAAGGTAGGAGAGGCTGAGATATATAATCTTGCATAAACCTTACACCTAGTATGGCAACCCAGAACTTCTCACTGAAGAACTTAGTTTGAAGCCCACTTTTGGCACCCGATTTTTAAGAATTGCACCTGAAAGACAAGGCCCCCAAACATCTAGCTTTGAAAGCCAACAAGGCGTGTACCCACAAAGCTCTGGCGAGCTGATAACATGGTCCTTAAAGGGCTTGCACGCTTGGACTCAACAGCCCAGCACAGAGGCAGCCAATTGAGAGGCCCCTAAACTTTTTGTGAAAGGCTTAAATGGCTTGTGAGCCTGAAGGTTAGGCATCTAGCACAGACTAGGGGCCGGGGAATTACTTACCGGGGACAGAGGCTGATGGGTACCGTCATTGCTCTCCTTTGCTCCAGCCAGCAGTGCCATCTTTGTGCTCATCCACTGCTTCACTGTAGCTTGCCAGTAGCTCCTGGAAAGGAGCTTGCACCTTGCTCTGGTGCCTCAGTAGTTGCAGCTGCTCCCAGAGGACACCTCTAGATCACCTAGTTCTAGATCACCAGTGCGACTGAACCCTGGGGGTCCCACAGAACTATACATTTGCATTCTTTAAAAGCTGCTGCCTGAGGGTCTGATTTCTGGTCAGCCTGAACCTAGGTCCTAACTGCGACCCTCCCTGCTTTGGAACTCTGACAGATCTCTGCACCCCCTCAGCTACTGGGAGCCACTTCCATTACACAGGCTGCTTGGACAATCACAGAGGTTTGAGAGACAACTAATAGCTAGAACAAGGTTCAATGATAAGGAAGTGACCTCATGGAGGAGATGAAGCTTAAGACCGGAAGAGGTGGCCATTTTATCTAAAGCATAGAAACCAACAGTATCAGGAAATGAAGAAAGAGGAATGTGTTCCAAACAAAACAAGATAAAGCCACAGAAACTGTCCTTAACCAAATGGGGATAAGGAGTTCAAAATAATGGTCATAAAGATGCTCATCAAACTCCATGAGACCCACAGAGGAGGAAACTGGGTGAACACCGAACTTTAACAAAGAGTCAGAAAATATAAGTACCAAATAGAAGTTACAGAGCTGAAGAATACAATAACTGAACTTAAATATACACTAGAAGGGTTCAACAACAGACTAATTGAAGAAGAATCAGAGTAGCAAAACGAAAAAAGATGGAAAAGAAAATGAAGATAGCTTAAGGAATTTATGGGACAACATTTGCATTATAGGGGTCCCAGAAGGAGAATAGGCAGAAAACGTGCCTAACTTGGGGAAGGAAACATCCAATCTAATGTTGTAAAGTTGGTAGACTAGTCGGTTAAAAGGCAAATGGTAAAAAGTAACTAACTACAGTAATTAAAGGATATATACAACATTAGAGGATGTAAAATGTGACATCAAAAATATAAAATGGGTTGGGGGTGTGGAGCCCTGGAATGGATTCAAATTTGTTATCAACCTAAAACAGACTGTTATAAATATAGGTTGCCTCATGGTAACCACAAATATGAATGATATAGTAGATACACAAAAAAATAGAAAGGAATCTAAGCACACCACTACAGAAAGTCATCAAATCATAAGCAAGATAGCGAGAAAAAAAGAAAAGGAATTGCAAAAGAGCCAGAAAACAGTTAACAAAATGGCCATAAGTACAAACCCATCAATACCATTCCTTTAAATGTAATTTTCCTATCAAAAGACAGATTAAAAAAACTCAAAAAAATACAAGACCCATCTATGTGCTGCCTATAAGCGATTCACTTCGGATCTAAGGATATACATAAACTGAAAAGTGAAGGGATGGAAAAAGATATTCCATGCAAATAGAAATCGAAAGAAATCTGGGGTAGCTATATTTAGACGAAATAAGCTTTAAAACAGACTGTGACAGAGTGATGTCAGCATCCTAGCCGTGTGAGTCGATCCTTTTTCCTTTCCCCTTGGATTTACAACTCTTCAGACTTTCATAACTGAGCACATGTGACTGCAGATGATACCTGATGGGTCCTTCCGTCTGTGCATCTGGAAAGGGGTGGATTAAACTGCAGAGGAGGTAGAGCCAGGAGAATGGTGGCATAGTGGCAACCTTGCTGGCAGAGGAGGTGGAGGGGGAAAAGTAGGTGGGGATCTTCCCAGCAGTGCATGCTGAAGCAAGGCGGGCCCAGTGCTCTCTCTGAGGAGAGACTGCAGTGATGATTTGGGGGGATGGGGACAGAAACAGAACTGAGGGTAACTCACTTCTGCCTGAATTACAGCAAAAAGTCTGCCAACAGACTTCCAGGACTCCCCTACTCGAGGATCCCCCTACCCGGCCATGGGCACACCCAAAGCCCCATGTGCTAAGCATGTATCTCTCCCCACACTGCCACCAGCCTTTCAATTTTTTTTTAAAGCCAGCTTATTTTCACAGGCACGCTCCCAACTTTAGCAGCAAATCAGCTCTAGTAAGAGAAACCAAAAACTTGTGCTGTACAGCCAATGTCTGGAAAAGTCTAAGTATTCTAATTGCCAGTCAGTTAAACAGAATCACAGTAAACAAAGCATCACCTGAATAAGAAAGGCATTTGTTACTTCAAATGCAATGGTAGAGGCACATTTCATCGAACACTATGAAAAACCATAGCAATACAGTATCACAAAAAGAAAACCACAACTTTGCAGCAACCAAACTCAAAGACATATGGAATATTCTTATCTAACTGATAATTCAAAATAGTTGTTATGAAGATATTCAACAACCTATAAGAAAACTCAAGCAATTCAATTAACTAATGGAATAATTAATGAACAGAGGAGTACTTTATCAAAGACATAAAAATTGCAAAAAAGAACCAACCAGAAATTCTGGAGCTAAAGAATTCAATAAATGAGATACAGAATACATTAGAAAAGCATTGGAAATGGGGCAGATAAGACTGGAGAAAGATTAAGCAGTCTGGAGGATAGAATCTAGAAATTATTCAGGTGGAAGAGGAGAGAGAACTAAGACTTTAAAGGGGAAGAAACCCTATGAGAGCTGTCAGACTCCATTATAAAAGGCGATGTAAGAATAATGGGTCTACCAGAAGGAGAAGAGGGCAGAGAGTTTACTTAAAGAAATAATAGCTGAGACTTCTCAAACCTGGGGAAGGAACTAAACATAAAAGTCCATGAAGCTAATAGAACGCCTTATTATCTTCTCCAAGACATAGTATAATGAAACTGTCAAGAGTCAATGATAAAGAATTTTAAAGACAGTCAGGGATAAAAAGAAAAGAATCCCCATTAATATACCAGCAGATTTCTCAGCAGAAACTCTATAGGCCAGGAAAGAGTGGAATGACATTGTCAAAGCATTGAAAAATGAAAATTGCCAGCCAAGAATATTCATTTTGGCCAAGTTACCCTTCAGATGTGGAGATGTAAAGACTTTTCCAGACAGACAAAAGCTGAGGGAGTTTGTTGCTTGGGCGCTGGGAGCTAGAACTGCCTTTCAAGAAATGCTAAAAGGAGTTCACACTGAAAAGCAAAGAGAACAGTACACAAAACGTTGATTACAGTGATATTCGAAATTAGAAAATGCTAATTCTCAGAAAGGTGTGTTAAACAATTATAGCATAAAGGTTAAAGGAAAGAAGCATTAAAAATACAGCTGCTACAATTTATAACAAATTCACAGCATAAAAAAGATGATAAGTCATGTTAAAATATAAAAGGGAGGAGTAAAAGGGTACAACCTTTATAGGTGAATAAAGATAAGTCGCTATCAGCAGAAAAAGGAATTTTTCAATTTTTAAATAATTTTATAATTTCCCAATAGATTTTGTCTGTGAATAAAATGAACAAAGTGTTTACAATAATTGTCAAGGCAAAGTTGATTATAACACAAATTTCTTTGTAGTGTCAATATTCTGTCAGTAACATGATTCTGGCCACTACACACACACACACGCAGGCAGTGGGTTTTTTGTTTGCTTGTTTGTTTGTAAACTGCATGGTAACCACAAAAATATATAGAGCAGAGACACAAAACAAAAAATGGTTGGTAGGGGTGGGGCAAATGAACAACTATCAGCTTAAGAAGGTAGACAGATCAGAAGGAAAACAACAGAGTTATGAAAAACCAGAAGGCAAGATATAAAATGACAGCAGTAAGTCCTTACATATCAATAATCACCTGGATTAAGCTCACCAATCAAAAGGCACAGAGCAGGTGGAAGAATTTTTTTTTAAGGACCCAATTACACGCTGCCTACAGGAGACTCATTTCAGCTCTAAAGAGACACAGAGGTTCAAAATGAAGGAAGATAATATTCTAAGCAAGCAGGAGCCTAAAGAAAACAGGTGTAGTCATATCAGACAAAATAGACTTCACACCAAAACATGCAAATACTAACAAATCTTAGGGGACAGATATACAATAAACAACAATATAGTAAGGGACTTCAATATCACATTATCAGAAATGGATAATCAGACAGAGAATCAACAAGGAAATGTGGGAATTGAGCCGTACTTGAGAACAAATTGACTTAACAGACATACAAAGAACATTCCACCCAATAGCAGCAGAATACACATTCTACTGCTGCATTTGGAACATTCTCCACCATACATCATGACAATTTTATGAATTTTGTGAATCACAAAAATTAGCAAGTTTAAGAAGACTGAAATCATACCAACTATCTTCTTTAACTGCAATGGTATGGAACTAGAAATGAACAAGAAGGAGAGAGATCTATAAATATGTGAAAACTAAACAACACTCTAAACAACCAATGGGTCAAAGGAGAAATTAAAAGGGAAATAAGAATTATCTCAAAACCAGTAGAAATGGAAATACAGCATGTCAAATCTTGTGGAATGCAGCAAAAACAGTTCTGAGAGGAAAGTTTATAGCAATAAATGCATATATTAAGAACTTAGAAAAGTCTGAAAAGAAGAAAAAACCCAACCTAAATCTACTAGTACACCTTGAGGAACAGATGAACAACAAATTAAGCCCAACAGAGAAAGGAAATAAAAATCAGAGTGGAAATAAAATAGAGACCAGAAAAACAGTAGAAAGGATCAACAAAACTAAAAGCTGGATCTTCAAAAAGAAAAAAAATGACAAACCTTTATTACTTACTAAGAAAACAGAAGACTCAAATAAATAATATTAGAAGTGAAAGAGGAGATATTACAACTGGTACTACAACTATTCATAGGAACATAAGAAATTACTATCAATAATTATGTGGCAACAAATTACATTATCTAGAAGAAATGATAACATTTCTTACCTACCAAGACTGAATCAGGATGAAACAGAACATCTGAACAGACCAATGAAGAGTAAACAGATTGGATAAGTAATCAAAAAATTCCCAATACACACACACACACACACACCCCAGGACAAGATGGCTTCACTGGTGCATTCTATCAAACATTTGGAGACGAATTAACACCAAGCTTCCTCAGATGCTTCCAAAATAGCAGGAAGGGAGAACACTTCCAAAGTCATTCTACGAGGCCATCACTACCTTGATACCAAAACCAAATAAGGATGAATATAGATGCAAAAATTCTCAAAAATATTAGCAAACTGAATTCAGGAACACATTAAAAGGATTATACACCAGGACTAATTGGGATTTATCCCTGGATGCTAGGAGAGTTCAACATACGTAAATCAATAAATGTAATATATCACATAAATAAAATTAAAGATAAAAATCACATGATCATCTCAATAAATGCAAAAAAAGCATTTGGTAAATTACAGCATCTTTTCATGATAAAAAAAAACTTAAAATATAGGGTATAGAAGGAACATACTTCAACATAATAAAAGCCATATCCAACAAACCCAGAGCAAACATTATAGTCAATGTCAAAAAAAACCACAAAAACCTGAAGCTTTTCCTGTAGGATCAGGAACAAGAAAAGGGTGCCCACTCTCCTACTCAATACTCTATTCAATATAGGAGGTCCTAGCTAGCTCATTTAGGCAAGACAAAGAAATAAAAGATGTTCAGATTGGAAAGGAAAAAGTAAATTGTTTGTGTTTGCTGGTATGGTTTTGTATATAGAAAATCCCAAAGAGTCAACCAAAAAAGTGTTGGAACTAATTAGTAAATTTTCAGGATAAAAAAAAAAAATCAGCATGCAGATGTCACTGGTATTCCTTTACACTAATGATGAAACATCTGAAAAAGAAAATATCCCATGCACAATAGCACCAAAAAACAGTAACACAGGAATAAATTTAACCAAGAAAGTGAAAGATCTGCAGACTAGAAACTGTGTGACGGCTGAAAGATATCAAAGACCACATAAACCAATGGTGAGATATCCCATGTTTATGAATCAGAAGAATTAACATTGTTAAGATGTCCTTACCACCCAAAGTCTATCAATGCAATTCCTACCAAAATTCCAATGGCATTTTTCACAGCAATCTAACTTCTATGTATTTGTCCAAAGAAAATGAAAACACTGATTCTGAAAGCTATGTACAGCCCCATATTCACTAAAGCAGTTTTTATAAGAGCCAAAATATGAAAACCTAAGTGTCCATCTAAGGATGAATGGATTTTTAAAACTGTGACGTATATATGCAAAATAGAATATTATTTGCCCATAACAAAGAATGAAATTTTCCATTTGTGACAACCTGGGTGGACCCTGAAGACATTAGGTTAAGTGAAATAAGTCAGAAAGACAAATAACATATGATCTCACCTACATGTGAAATCTAAAAGTTGCTCATGCCATTATCTCAAATAGATTAATCTGCTTACTATTTGACTTCAGTTATACAAAGCATATGACCAACCCTTTCACAAAAAGTAGAAAGCATAATAACCCTCCATGCTGAGTGGGTTAGCTGGCCAGCAATACCCCCCATTGCAGGGAGAGGAATCACTGTAGAATGAATGAACAATTCCATCCAAGAACACCTACATATTCTTTTTTTTAATTACCTTGGTCTTAAAAAAACAAAACAAAACGGAAGTCTAAAGAAAAACATTTAGAATCACTTAAGGTTATTTTTAACTTATAAACTTGAAGGGGAAGAATTCAGAGTGTTTTGGCTAAATACAAAAATAATTAGAAAGAACCATCTCATTTTCCCTAATTGACTACCAAGTTTTGCCCCTTTAATTTTTAGAAGCCCATCTCCTCATAAGGATCTTCTGGTTGATCAGTTTTATGATACTTAATCCAGAAAAGAAAGAGCTCTATCATGGTTTTGCTTTCCCTTTTAGGCAAAGGAGGAAACTTCCAAGCCAAAAGCTGATGAAAAAAATACAAGTTAAAGTTCACACTATTTGGTAAGTTGGATGTTTGTTGCAAATGAGGGCAACGGTATCTTCTACCAACCTAATGTGTTCAAGGCGAGAGAAACTAAGTCTACTTCTTGAGTATTTCATGTTCTCAACTATTGGCATGAAATGCACATTGCAAAATCTATAGAGTAATTCTCTGAAAAGCACAAAATGGGATGATTGTGCTGTTGAAATATTAAAAAACAATCTTATAATAAGAGCTCTTTAAAGTATTAGACCAGGCTCTTGAAGAAAATGACCATCTAAGTCTAGCTGACTCTTTGAAACCCAAATGCTCATAATTTTGCAGATTACTGTGGCAAAGCAAAATTAGCATGTTGTATTACCTCTTATAGTAAAATGCCCCTTGTTATTGATACCAAGACATGAGGGGTGAGAAGTACCCCTTAAGGTCTGGTGGAAATTACAGGGTTTTTGGAACCAAGAGCAAAGGAAAAGATTGACTACTTTTGGCCAAATACTATGTTTGATTATACGTTATGGTGACTCAGGAGCTTGCATTGATGAGGGAATCTCTGAGATCTATCTTGAGAGCTGGACCCTTAACTTGAAAAAGAAGAGATCTTATTCTAAAGTATAAAAGCTTATAATTGCTTGCCAAACAAAGCCTAAAGGAAATAAAAATACAGATTTTTCTCACCATGTTCCACTTTTAGTTCCCATAATGAGGGAGGTATGCTAATGAGGACTACTCTAAAGACTCCCTCCAAAATTTAAAAAAATTATATGAATAATCCACTTTCATGTTTACTTCTAGGAAATTCCTTCTTGTGTGTGTGTGTGTATATATATATATATATGCTTTTGCTAAATGTTACATTTATTATGCCTTGTAACAACAACAAAAACTACATACCAAAGTGGTTCACTGGATTTCTCTCTGAATTTTTCAAGGTATCTACATATAAAATCTTCAGCTGGTGGTTGGTGACTTCTGAAGAACAAAAGGCTTTGACAACGAATTTTTCTGGGTGGCTTCTAGACAGTGATCTTTGTTGAGTTTTTTGACATCCTAAACGTTGGTTTGTTATTCTTTTCCCAGAAAGTGAATTTGCCTGGTTCACCTGTGCTATTGTACTGAGTATTGATAAACTTTGAATTTTTAAAAATTGCCTGCAGTTGGGAGAGAAGGGAACTTTATATTTCTAAGAGATATATTTGATAGTTTCTTAAAGCAACACACACACAAAAAAAAAATAACAGGAAAAACCTTTGCAAAATTTTGCACATTCTACACGCAGTGCCTGTAAATCTCATTAGTATTTTTGGTTTGCACTTAATTTGTTGTTATTGTTAGCATTTGGAAAACAATGCTGTAAACATTCGTCAATGTTCTGATTTCTCATTACCCCTTTCCCCTTGGGCTTTTGAACTGTACTTGATGTTTCTCTGGGTTAATGTTTATAAGCCCATTAAATATTGTACATCGGGCACATATCTCCTCTTGGGCTGCTAATAATGAATTGATAGGTAACCTGGACAGACCAGGAAGCACTGCGCCTCTTTTCAGGTTAAACTCTTTGCCAGAGGTTAGGACTTATGCACCTTATAACCGCGCAAAACATACTTACTGAGACTTGAATCAAGTCAGAAGAGCAAGATACAGACTATATTTCACTGCATAGCAAGTCCCAAGAATAAAATCTACTCAGAATATTCATATGGCTTGAACTCTGTTGGTTTACTATGTTACGCTGTGCTTCCACTCACGCTATATAAAACCTGAGTAGCGGTTGTTTGCTTAGTCTGTTGCACTGTATAGCACCTGCCTTTATGGGAAGTTAGGTTTACCCAATACAAAACCGAACTTCTGCTTTAAAAAAAGAAATCTGGAATTTAAAAATTCGCTCCCTTCCCCCTCACAGAAACTTAAGAACTAGGCTCTGTTGTCCTGCAACTTCGAATGGTTTCTTAGATCTTTCTGAATTGCTCATGAACATAGCACTGATGTCATTGATGAGATTTTGATAATTTCATCTTTACTTCCCAGTAGTGAATGCAGGAAAAGATATCAGGTACATATCATACACTGATTTGGAATTTCTTATTTCAGAGAGCACAGCCTTCCTTAGCCTTTGTGTGGAGGTTTTATTTATTAGGACTTAGCTGACTTCAGTAAATATATCACCACTAATACTGTCTAATAAGGGGGGGAGAGAGACAAAAACAATAACACTGCTTATAATGGGCGTCAAATTTTGTTAATACCCTTATAAATTCTTTTTAAAAATCATGCAGTACCTATGGGATTTCAAGCTTCACCCACTTTAAATGCTATGTCTGTCCCATCAGAGACACGGGGCATTTTTCTATTATTCTACGTCTGGGAAATATAAGCCAGTGTTATGGTGACTAAACAGACCTCTTCAAGGCACTGACAAGAAAATAAAACACATGTTTCCTGAGGGATTTTAACTATGTCTCTAATTCTTCCATTTGGGTAGTACAAAGTGGGGTGTTTTTGTTTGTTCAAAAAGGTAAAACCTTAGACACTGACAGATGTGTTTGCAAGGATATGGCTGCAGTATTATTAACTTGATGCATATATAGTATTTTTAAACAACATACCAAAATCCCGAGATTTAAGGAATGCCTGTAAAAGTAAACATTTAAGGTACTCTGAATATGCTTTTTTTGTTTATTAGAAATGTCTTCAAGAGTTGGGTGTCTGTAATTAATGATGGCTTGAGTCAGCTTCAGCATCCAAAGCAGTCCTTTTCACCCATCTAATTAGGAGGAAATAATTGCAAATATCTGCTTACAGGTAAATTATAACCTTTTATTATCAAACAGGTTTTGCACATTGTTGTGGCAATATTGTGTCCATTTAGGAAATGGACTTCTCCAAAAGCAACGGAAAGTAGGTTCCTCAGGTGACCAAACTGAAGATCACTATTTCCACGTTTCGTATTTCATTAAGTAAGATGTAAAATACAATTAAAAATATTTTACACTCAAATCTTGGCTTTGTATGTTTTTGGAAGGAAAATGCCTGGGGTAGAAATTACTAGTGATTTCTGTTTCTGTTTCTCAAACCATTAAAACATGCAATATGTTTAAAAAAGGAACTGTAAACGCATTTAGGTCCAGAAAAGTCATTATTCCTCCATTTTGACATTTTCCCTTTCACATTCCTTTATCTTAAATTCTGCGGTACATTAAAAACTTCATAAAAGACTTCTCACTTAGAGGAATATAAGCAAATATTTTCAGTTTCACAATACATCATCATTTACAGAAGACTGCAATGACTTACTGGCAATAGGTGGCAATAATGAGTAACTCAGGAATTGTAAACTAGGCCAAATAATGAGCAGGGAGGGGAAGCAGCACCTACCTAAGGACCAACAGCTCTCAGGTTCAACTTCAAGCGACAGGTTCCTTCTCTAGACCTGAAGGCACTCTGCTGTTTCAGAAGGGACACTATGGGTCAGGATCCCTGAGGAGTAGATGACACTCCAATTAGGATTACTTGAAGAGGGTGTCATACAAGGTGGTGTTTTGTTTTTATGCAGAGGCAGGGCAGGGACATATGGAAACCACAGGTACAGCCAAGACTAGTAAAAGCCAGGCTGCCACTTCTCCCCTCATCCTGAGGGGATGAGAAGGAAGCAGTTGCTAGAAGGCAGAGATGGGGGAGGCTCAGTGGGCAAAGGGGCCACCTCCAGAGCGGGAGACCTTCAGTGGAGGCCAGCCTGAGGCAGCCTGAAGGGAACTAGGGGAGTACACACACCTCCTCTCTCCCACCCCAGCTCCAATCTGCCTTCCTGGGAGACTGACCACAAGCCAGAGGGCCAGGAAGCCCGAGGAGGCGGCCCCACGTTCGCCCCTGGACATGGGCAAAGAAGAGAAGGTAGAAACAGATCACACATCCTGGCTTTAATTGAGTGTGTCTATTTAATGTGTGTGCTGTATATACACACAGATGCTAACGTAATCTTTTTAAAACATGGTATCTAAAAGGCAGATCTAAATGGTCACTGTTAGTAGTTCCCACCATTCACAGAGTTCCACGGAGACTAACAAAGACAGTTTCTGAATGACAAACACATGGGAGGGAAGGGTTTGGAGGCTGTGGGGCTTAAGTATAAAATAAAAAATAAGAATATGGTACTTTGCCGAAACCGGTTTGGCTCAGTGGATAGAGCGTTGGCCTGCAGACTGAAGGGTCCCAGGTTCAATTCCGGTCAAGGGCATGTACCTTGGTTGTGGGCACATCCCCAGTGGGAGATGTGCAGGAGGCAGCTGGTCGATGTTTCTCACACCTAACTATCTCTCTCCCTTGCTCTCTGTAAAAAATCAATAAAACATATTTTAAAAAAAAAAAGAATATGGTACTTTACTCTTCAGCAGTGAAAAACCCACCACGTGGGTTTACATTGGGGGCAACACCTACAAATGAAACACACAATAGAAATAACGCATTGATGGAAATATTAACAGCCAGGCTTTTCACAGGATCGGTCAAATGAGTAAGAAGAAAAAGGAGGTGTCTTCAGTGGGGAGCCCAAACAGCCATCTTTAGGTTGAAGGTATTCGTATTCAACAAAATTTAGGTAATTAGAGATCACAGAAACCAACTAGGAACGGATTGTTAAAGCAGTTCAAGATTTTGGTTTTGGAGCCACACTCTGATTTTATCAAAATTCTTATCCATCCAGCGTATGTTTTCCTCAATGGTTTCAATTGTCTGTTGGACACAACGGAGCTGAGAACCATTTTCTTTCAAAGAGCTGAAGAATTCTTTTACCTTGTGAGAAAAAAAAATGAGTTTTTAAAATTTTGCTTTATTACATTATACAAGTCCAGGCTCGTTAAAAGAAAACTGAAGCCAAAATTCTAGCATTTGTCAAAATTCTATACGGAAGGCAGTGCCAGGTGTCTGGATACAATTATGTACACAAACTTAAGCTGTATGAAATGAGCTCATGCCTCATGATGTCAAGTTTTGTGTGTGCGTTTTTTTCTCTGCAGTTTTTTAGTTTATTCACAGTTGCCAGATTCTAAAAGACTTCACTGTTTACCACTTTATAATTAAGGTTTAATTGAGTGTGTCTATTTAATGTGTATTCTGTTATAGACACACAGATGCTAACTTCATTTTTTTAAACATGGTATCTAAAGAGCAGAATGTGCAGAGTGTCTTCTTTGCCAAGCAAAACAGTTTCAACCACATAAGTGTAGTCTTTCTCCACGGACCTGGCCTTGTGTGTGATTATAGAAACACTGTGGGGAATGGGGTTCTTAGCAAGTTATGGTGGTAATACCCCAAACTTTGCCAAGTTTTTATTATCTTAATCCACAATTCAGGTATTGTTCCCTTAAGATAAAATCCACACAAAGTTCCCCATAGTTTTAAAGAGATAAGAAACTCTTGGCTCCCTCCATGAAAATAGATTTTTGTTGTTTCATCGCTGGGTATCTGGGCCCCTTTAAGCTCACAGGAGGAATAGGCCCGCTTTGCCACACCATTGATCACTCTGCTACTCTGTTTCACCTTAAAGAGTTATTAACCTTTTCCCATAAATTTTCACAGCATTAATCCATCAATTTTTGATTTTGTAGACAGAAAGCAAGTCTAGACCAAGAAGTATTGTCTATTCAGCATTGATTCCAGACAGTTAATTCCTTAAAAAAAAAAAAAAAACACTAAAAAAATACCACCACCATGCCATAATATCACGAGTTTGAAAATAAGAGGGGGTAAGAATAGGTTTTTGAAAGACCAAATCCCAATTTTAAATGATGCAAGGTGGTTTCAAAATTATCCCAGTGCACCTTTTCAATGAGCTTAGAGGCATGCCCTCCTGTTGCAGCAGCCTAGAAGACACTCTGCTTCTCTGTCCCAAGTTGCAGCTCAACCTTCTTTCCCCCTCAGAGCTCAAGATTAATTGATATTCAGCTAAAAAAGCACCCTGAGCACTCCTCAACAGTCACACCTCATCGACAGTCTTACCCCTTGGTCAAACTGCCTAAACCTAAGGAGCCCATCACGATAGTACCACTAAAGAACACCTACAAGACTGGCAACAAAACCAGTTTTAACACTTGCTCTTAAATTTTTTTTCTGACCCCCGAAGTCTCTCTCCTATATGACCTGATTTAGGAAACGCAGCATGTCATCTGAGTATTTGATTCAAAACTGCCTCCTTGAGAACATTTCCTGTGCAACAAGCAGCATGATACAGGGAAAAACAGGTTTACCCTAAGTTGTTTGACCTTGAGCAAATAATTTAACTTCTCTGGGACTCAGTCTCCTCATTGGTTAAATGAGGGTCATCTCTACATTGCAGAGGATGTAGTTATAGAATGCGGTAAGGTGCAGAACCTAAAACGCAGCTTATGTCAGGGCTGCAACCTCATCCATTTAGTCACGCCTATTTACATTGGTACTTATTCACCCCTTGCCTTAGCTACTGCGCTAGAACCGAGGATGTGGCAGTGAATCGAACAAGCACCCTACGCTCAGGGAGCTTACCGTCTCCCTGGAAGACAGGCAGTAAACTTTGATTAATATAAACTGTGAAATAAACTAGGGCTATGACAGTAACTGTGGAGGGGGTGGCCTGCTACACACACAGTGGTCTGGAAAGGTGACCCTCGAGCTGGAACCTCTAAAGCAGTGGTTCTCAACCTGTGGGTTGCGACCCCTTTGAGGGTCGAACAACCCTTTCACAGGGGTTGCCTAAGACCATCGGAAAACACATATATAATTACATATTGTTTTTGTGATTAATCACTATGCTTTAATTATGTTCAATTTGTAACAATGAAATTGGGGGTCACCGCAACATGAGGAACTGTATTAAAGGGTCACGGCATTAGGAAGGTTGAGAACCACTGCAAGGATAAAATGAGCCTTTCCAGCGAAAAGTTGGGCAAAGAGCCAGCCAGGCAGAGAAGAAAGTGCAGAGCCTTTGAGATCAGAGAAATACTGGTAGCTGGTGGCCCAGGAGCAGGGGGAGGCTGAGTGCCTGGAGTATCGAGAGAGAGTGAACAAGGAGAGCAAGTGAGAACTGGCTGGAGTGGTGTACAGGAGCCAGGTCATCCCAGTTTGGGCACACAGGAAAGAGGTTTGGAATTTATTGCAAGAACAATAGGTGGGGTTACAAGAAGGGGGTCAATTCAGTTTTAAATGTGGAAAGTGGTTTGGTTAATGGCAAGTGGCAGGAGGGAGGCCAGTTAGGAGGTGATCACCATAGACCAGACTAAAAAAAATAAATAAGAAAAGCTTGTATGGGATAAGTGGCAGAGAGAAGTGCAGAGATACGATGCATATACCACAGACAGGGCCGACAGGGCCAACAGGACTCGGGGATGGATTACATGTGAGGGGAAGGCAGGGCTCAGGAGGACTCCTATGTTTTAAAGGCTCAGGAGGACTCCTATGTTTTAAAGGCAGTAGGACGCTCTCTATGATGGCAGTATCTCAGGCTTCTTCATTTCCATGTCCTTTCTCAGTTTGTGCACCTGATGTTTCCTATGCACACAACACTCTCCTCCTAGATACCTGCATTTCCTTTGATGTCCACCGAAATGTCTCCGAGTCATCCTAGAAAACATAGCACCACTCCCCGCCCCAGGCACTCTCTATCCTTACCTTGCCTTAGTCCAGTGGTTCTCAACCTTGGCTGCACATTAGAATCACCTGGGAATCTTTTTAAAATCCTGATTTCTGGGCCTCATCCTCCAGAAATTCTGTTTCTTTGTTACTAATGTTGTGGCCCCAGCCCATAACAAAGAAACAATCTCCAGAGGATGAGGCCCAGGAATCAGGATTTTAAAAAGATTCCCAGGTGATTCTAATGTGCAGCCAAGGTTGAGAACCACTGCCTTAGTCACTCTTCAACCTGACAAAGGTTGTTTGTCTGTAATTGTAATTATCTGATTCCCCCGGTAGAATTTAAGCTCCATAAGAGCAAGGCTTTGTCTATTCTGTTCATCTTCATTCCCTAGAAC